TTAATTAAATTTTAATTACTTTCTGTTGAATGTCGTCGGTTGTTCGACACAGAGAGTTGCTGTGCACAGGACTCGGTTCGATATGTAAATAAGCAGCAGCTTTGTCTGTCAAGCGAACATGTAACATGAAAATTGACGTACCCTGGGTATTAGAAAGTATGTGGTACGAGCATTTCAAAAAGGTTTATGGTTAATGGAAATTATTTTCTTGTGCAGATAGAAGTGAATTTTTTGTTTTTGCAGAGTTCTTACAAATCCATCGTGCTTCATATTTATTGCTTCACAATGGTTTAAAATTAATTTCTGCTCGGCTCGTTGGAGTGTTGGCAACCTTGTCATAGCAACTACTGCAGCGTCATACAAGGTTACTTTGACAGATTTTTTTTGATAAGCCGTCGCCGACAACGTATTAAGCACGCAAATTGTGGTTGTCATTTCGGCCACAAGACGCACTCAGCTGACAACCACAAACCTTACGGCTTTGTTGCGCCGATTTCCATTGCACATTCATTCATTCATTTTGGTTAATAAATGTTAGCAACAGCAACAGCACCAGCAGTGCAAACTACGAAACAATTGTTTGATTCGAGGAAAGAGACTGTAATAGTCCTCATGCTCTTCAACATTAATGAAAGGCTTTAGTTTGGTTGTAGGGATGACAGAAGCAGGGAGTGGAGGAATTTATTGTCTGCACTTGTCAGCGTTGGATTTAGCTGTTTTTTATATATGCTCGACTTAAGTTTTACCACTTATTTTGTCCCTTTAAAATTTGTGGTTCATTTTCGTAGTTATGTCAGCAATCATAGTTTTACGAAAATTTTTTCCATTTTTATTAAAATATTTTTCTACTTCAGATACACAAGTAGAATCTTTTTGATTTCATTCCATTCGTTTATTTAAATGCAAGCATAACACACACATATTTCGTCCTTTTTCAATTTCTTCCATATTAAATGCACATAAATATTTTAAGAGACAAAAACCAACGGAATTAAAGAAAATATTTTAAAAAAGTATGGTCAATGTGTCATTTCCCAGTGCTTACATATCCCATAAGTGCACTTAAGTGGTTTGCAGAGCGGTCATTGTGCACGAAAATAAATTATCACATTTATTGTCCTCCAAGAGCAGAAGAAATTATAATCACCGCACGACACAAATACTGCAAAAACCAAAGAATTTTCGGAACTTTGAAAAAGTTTTGCGATTGCAGGGACAACGACGACGGCTTTCGGAATTTACACTCGTATGCGCAGTGCATGACATCAAAGGTGGATCTACAAATTGTCCGTCGGAAAGTTGCATCAACTAAATTAGCTTCAAAAGGATATTAAACGTTCGGTAGAAATAATTGGCGTTCGCGGGTTGAAAATAAAATAAAAACCAGAAAAACATAAAAGCTCTTAAGGGATACTCGCAACATGCAAATTTTTTTCGAGAGAAGTGGTAGTAAAGAACAACTATAGTGGAAATGCGTCTGATTAAAATAAATAAAAATTATTCATAACAAAAAGTAAAAAATGAGGTTGAAATATGGAGTTGGTTATATTCACAATTCATAACAGAAGTGCTTTTTGCTCTGAATTAAACAGTTCTGATTAATCTGTCTCCTGTGCAGTAATACATCGAATCATTGCAGCAGTACAGATGGACTTTGGATATTCATTGAATAGGTGAATGCTTAAGTTTTGGGGGCGGATTGGTCTATATACAAACTATTTTATACATTATATTGTTTAATATAATACTTAGCAATAAAAAGTAATAACTGATTGGAAAATAAAACGCAGAATTGAAGTTTTCTACTAAAAAAATGAAATTTGACTATTTTGAGACTTTTTTTTGTAAATATCAAATTCTGGAGATGGGAAAATTCATAATAAATATAAATTGTGAAAAAACAAATTGCAGTTACCCGCACGTTGCAATAAACAAACTCACACATTTTTAGTTTAGGAACAACATTTCAAATGGAATCTGTGATCAGTTATAGATCTAAAGTGCCATAAAAAACTCAAAGAATAAAATTTCTTCTAATAATAAGAAGAAAAAGAATTTCTAAAATGAATGACATCTGCAACTCATCCACCCACAGAACTCGGTTTGACGAATCGTCGTGTCGCAATATACCTCTAAGAAGTGACCTCAGGAGAAAAAAGAGATAATTATTCTTAAATTATGAGTTAAGAGAAAAAAAATTTTCACTGATATTTTGAAATTAAATACATCAACATTTAACATTGATATTCTTCTCATAATTGTCAGTCGGGTTCATTAAAGGTTAATGTGTCTAGAAATTAAGGAAAATTAAAAAAATTTAAAGATATTAAAGTATCTTGATTGCTTGAAATAAAATAATATTCGCATCTACATACATTGAAAAGATAAAAAGAAAACAATTTTCACATTTTAATGTCATTGTATTTCAGTTTTGTTTTCCTATAAAAAATTCTCCTTTCGTATCAACAAAAGTCCTTGCCACATATGAAGTTCGCGCTTCGCTGTTTGTTGTCGATTTTAAACGTTACAACGCTGGCATCCATTAACCCGGTTAATCCCGTTTAAATGGTTTACTGCTGTTTTATTATCACATAAAAACTTTATGTGGCATTTTCGTACGTTGTGAGCTTCGACACACTCGTACGTTCAAAAATCTCCGAAATCATGTTAATGACCTCGACGCTGTAGCTGTTGTCATCTGGGCATATGTTCTTATGACTATTAGCTGATCTGTGTATTGTGTCACGGAACTTGCAAATGTAGATTTAAATAAACTACAAATGTTAATAAAATCAGAGAGTGTAAACTGAATATTCAAATCAATGTCTAACTGAACAATCTCTTCGATGATTTATACTTGAGTTGATGTTGGCACGCTGAAGTGGGATTAAGTTTGCATTATCTTCGAAACAGTGGTGTAGTTAGTAATTCGTCAAGGGAGTGTGTTATCTATTTCACTAAAACATGTGGGCATATGATAGGAACAATGTCAAGAAGATAATAAGAAAATGGCAGTTTTTAAAGAAAAAGAAAAGAATAAGAAAAAGTTAATATTTAGGCGTTTGTTCTTATCTTCCAACTGAAAAAAGCTAACAATAATCTTGCTAATGCCCATATTAAAATCATTATTTAAGAAAAAAGTTCATCACTCCGGGAACTAACACTTTTCTTCTCATAGTAGGTAGCATATACTTAGTCGTGGAATATCATTGTATTTTTATAAAATGTGTTACGACTTCAAATCTATTTTGTTCTGATCTATACAAACTCATTCCCCTCACTCCTGCTTTTATTTATACAAAACAAAAGTCAAAATAAAATTCCTGTTCCGTAGTTTTAACGAAAACGCGACTCATTTAACCTCTCCGTGTATTGCATTGTTGCGTTAGAGTTTCGATTTTTGTTATTTAGGACTAAAATTGATACCCGCAGTGGACAAATAGAATGCGCAAGTATCTTAACTTGTATGGACCCCGATGTATTGAGTCGAACAGAATTCTATAGAGATAATACTGAAAATTGATTTTGGGTCCATAAGAATTCCAGACCCTTCATAGATTGTGCTATAATTTGTCAGATGTTATCTAAGCATTTCACATACAACAGTATGTTCCCTCAATATACACAATTACGCAGTCTTAATTTTGTAAAATGGATGCTTATGATTCGAAATTCAGCTTAAACTGTTTCCAATTATCGTGAATCCTTTCGAATGTACTGTCTTCGGCTTTCTAATGAGAGTTCACGTCGTTAAACTATCTTGTACCTTGTACAAGGTTTAGGTTTAGAGGCTCTATGCTTCACAAAGAGAAGAGGACAACAGTAACTAAGTAAGTAAGCAATACCTTGTTTAAGATATTAATAATTTTATAATGTTGAAGATAAGTTCGGTGTATATTTGTATTAAGTTATACAAAACAAGGTTAATAAAGTCCATACATTTCTTGGGCCGCAGAATTAAACAAGTGCGGAAATCGTGGATTTATTTATTCAAAACGAAATATTTATCAAAAAATTTGTTTGTTTTCACAAATTCGAACTTTATTCTGAAAATTATTATATAAACGATTTTTATTGCTTGTTGTGCTTTTATACATTTTTATGTACTTTATTTTTTCGATTTTGTGTTTACGAAGTTCCACAATTACATTCATTAAAATTCAATGCACGTCCATAAAATTGTTTTTCAGTGGACTGAAATATTTTGCTTTCATTCTCCTCTCACTTATTTTAAACTTAATTAAGACTTTAAGTGGAAACAATTGTACCAATGGAACGGAATATTAAAATTTATGTGGCTCACTCATAAATTGCCAAACAAAGAAGTACACAGGTGCCGAGCCAAACCGAGGAGAACCCTCGGTTCTGACGTACCGGTCCGGGCCGTGCCTTGCTGTATCCTGCAGGGCAGCTAACATTTGGTAACCTCAACTTTTGGTGAAGTCAATAATGAAATAATTTTTAAGCCGCATTCATAATCGCAGCGTTCAAACTTTCTTTTTATTAACAGCAGTAAATACAAAGAGCTGCGGAGCAGACAAAAGGAATAAAATCGAATAAAATCGTTAAAAATTCAATATTATTAACAGACAAGTCCTGGCACCCTGGCATGCTGGTACCCTGTGAGCTATGAACTCGATTCCAACAACGAAAATTAAGTTGAAGAAAATAAATGGTGAAAAAATATTTTAATAAAGAACAATGCAAAAGATTTTGCTGTGAAAGAAGCACCAGTCAACAATAGAAACAATAAAAACAATAAAATAGCGGAAACATTTGTTTTCTGGTTTTTTATAAAAAGAAAAAAATATGAAAATTCTAGTAATACTTCATATTTGAGAGAGAAAAGAAAAAGAAAAGGAAAAAATACTACAATAATAATAATCATAATAATAATGCAGCAGCACACCAAAGAAATATCCTGGCAGGAGGAGTACCAATCATTGAGGATTTGCTGGGTGCTTAGCTTTATTTTTACCTTTTGAGGGCGAACATAAAAAAATGTTCACATCAATTTGTGTTTGGAGAAATTTTTGTGAAGAAACCGAGGCACATGCTCCATCATCGCAGGGCCATTCATGTTTCAAGGGTTGAGGCTATAGGAATCAATATGAATTTGTCATAAATTTAAAATTTGGCCCAAACCCGTAACACCAACACAATGAGTGGAAGCAAGAAATTCAAATAAATTGAACCGGAAAGTCATAAGTTTTCGCATTTACCTCATGCCTTCGTTCACATTAAGTCGTTCCTGTTCTCCGCCATTTTGCTTGTATTTCTAGCTTCTCCAAAGGATTTTCCTTATTTCCTTTTTTTGTGCAAATTTTTATTTATTAGTAGCGTGCTGCACCGAATTTTTATTCGTAAGTTTCAAATAAGCTCACATATTCAGGACTTCCTCCGGAATTTTCGATAGGTAAAGGGTTGAGTTGGAAAACTGTGAGTTTTATTTAAACTTTACAAAAATTATAGGTGCATGTCTTTACTGGTTTACTGATTTACTGGTGAGTGTATGGGAGTGTTTGTGTGTTATCCTAAGTATTTTTACGTATTCAGATAATATCATGTGGATTATATAAATCATAGTTTAGCCTTTATGTCAGTATGCGGCATGGAGAGTGCCATTTTTATCTACTGTAAGAACGACTGGGATTTAAGAACTTTTAAACCATTGTACGCTTGTAAATTGGAAGAATAAATTAAATAAATACGAGCTTCTGTCTTTTCTAAGTTTTCAGTTACTTTTTCACTTAAGTGGATTTGCACTAAGTAGAAAAGAGTGGAAGTATTTAAATACGACAACATACCGAAAGATCGCCTCCGTAGAAGGGGTGAATAACGAATGTCTCGTTGCCAATGTGTATTACGCCGCTTACGCCGTTGCACGTATGGAACGCCGCACTTGCTCCAGGATAATCCTTCACTGTGCCATGGTAATAGCAATGTTCGATGTCCTGCAAATAAAAGTAGTTAAAAATTTAAAATGGTTTTGAAATGATTACGTATTATATTTGTATATGCATATTCATACAAAATTATTCTATAATATTTCTGAATCTACATTCAATTTCTGTTATAAAGTTCAGCCTATATTGAATAAAAAAGTGTAAGAAAATTCTTTATTGCTGGCTGACTATCCAGTTAGAAAGAGTTATCGTTATTTGTATAATAGTCAATCTTCTCAATTATTTGATGACACGACTTGCCAAAGCGCGTAACTTGTAGATTAAAGAACTTTAAAGGATGCCTATATAGGTAAGTAATCTTTAATAGGAATTCAATGACAGTTTGGCTCGCACTGTCAGTTAGGAGACTTATTCATTACATACTGACTTTCAAGGTTTAAAGGTTATGCTTATCGCATATATCTTCTACTAAAGATATAAAATTCAAAATATAGATCGACAACTTTTGAAGGTTCCGTTATAGACTTTAAAATCTAAAAATCTTAACCTAAAAAAATATATTTACCCTTTCGAACTTAACCTAAAACATATTTCGTTCAAAATTTTCTAATAAAACTTCCTGTCAATTTTTTAATATATTTTTTCCGGACTATTAAAATTGCATATTTGAATAAACTCTATACGGAATCCTTCAAAAGTTGTCGATCTATATTTGAATTTATATCTTTTAAGTAGAAGATTATGCGATAAGCATAACCTTTTAACCTTGAAAGTCAGTATGTAATGAATAAGTCTCCTAACTGACAGTCAGCCAACTGTCATTGAATTTCCTATTAAAGAATTATTACTCTATATGGATCCTTTAAAGTTCTTTAATCTACAAGTCTACGCGATGAGCAAGTCGTGTTCATCAAAACATTGAGAATGTGACTATCTATACAATAACGAATAACTCTTCTAACTGATAGTCAGCCAGCAATGAAAGAATTCTTCTTACACTTTTTTATTCAAATATAGGCTGAACTATTATACAGAAATTGAGAATGTATGATTCAGAAATATTATAGAATAATTTTGTATGAATATGCATATACAAATATAAAACGTAATCATTTCAAAACCATTTTAAATTTTTAACTACTTTTATTTGCAGGACATCGAACATTGCTATTACCATGGAACAGTGAAGGATTATCCTGGAGCAAGTGCGGCGTTCCATACGTGCAACGGCGTAAGCGGCGTAATACACATTGGCAACGAGACATTCGTTATTCACCCCTTCTACGGAGGCGATCTTTCGGTATGTTGTCGTATTTAAATACTTCCACTCTTTTCTACTTAGTGCAAATCCACTTAAGTGAAAAAGTAACTGAAAACTTAGAAAAGACAGAAGCTCGTATTTATTTAATTTATTCTTCCAATTTACAAGCGTACAATGGTTTAAAAGTTCTTAAATCCCAGTCGTTCTTACAGTAGATAAAAATGGCACTCTCCATGCCGCATACTGACATAAAGGCTAAACTATGATTTATATAATCCACATGATATTATCTGAATACGTAAAAATACTTAGGATAACACACAAACACTCCCATACACTCACCAGTAAATCAGTAAACCAGTAAAGACATGCACCTATAATTTTTGTAAAGTTTAAATAAAACTCACAGTTTTCCAACTCAACCCTTTACCTATCGAAAATTCCGGAGGAAGTCCTGAATATGTGAGCTTATTTGAAACTTACGAATAAAAATTCGGTGCAGCACGCTACTAATAAATAAAAATTTGCACAAAAAAAGGAAATAAGGAAAATCCTTTGGAGAAGCTAGAAATACAAGCAAAATGGCGGAGAACAGGAACGACTTAATGTGAACGAAGGCATGAGGTAAATGCGAAAACTTATGACTTTCCGGTTCAATTTATTTGAATTTCTTGCTTCCACTCATTGTGTTGGTGTTACGGGTTTGGGCCAAATTTTAAATTTATGACAAATTCATATTGATTCCTATAGCCTCAACCCTTGAAACATGAATGGCCCTGCGATGATGGAGCATGTGCCTCGGTTTCTTCACAAAAATTTCTCCAAACACAAATTGATGTGAACATTTTTTTATGTTCGCCCTCAAAAGGTAAAAATAAAGCTAAGCACCCAGCAAATCCTCAATGATTGGTACTCCTCCTGCCAGGATATTTCTTTGGTGTGCTGCTGCATTATTATTATGATTATTATTATTGTAGTATTTTTTCCTTTTCTTTTTCTTTTCTCTCTCAAATATGAAGTATTACTAGAATTTTCATATTTTTTTCTTTTTATAAAAAACCAGAAAACAAATGTTTCCGCTATTTTATTGTTTTTATTGTTTCTATTGTTGACTGGTGCTTCTTTCACAGCAAAATCTTTTGCATTGTTCTTTATTAAAATATTTTTTCACCATTTATTTTCTTCAACTTAATTTTCGTTGTTGGAATCGAGTTCATAGCTCACAGGGTACCAGCATGCCAGGGTGCCAGGACTTGTCTGTTAATAATATTGAATTTTTAACGATTTTATTCGATTTTATTCCTTTTGTCTGCTCCGCAGCTCTTTGTATTTACTGCTGTTAATAAAAAGAAAGTTTGAACGCTGCGATTATGAATGCGGCTTAAAAATTATTTCATTATTGACTTCACCAAAAGTTGAGGTTACCAAATGTTAGCTGCCCTGCAGGATACAGCAAGGCACGGCCCGGACCGGTACGTCAGAACCGAGGGTTCTCCTCGGTTTGGCTCGGCACCTGTGTACTTCTTTGTTTGGCAATTTATGAGTGAGCCACATAAATTTTAATATTCCGTTCCATTGGTACAATTGTTTCCACTTAAAGTCTTAATTAAGTTTAAAATAAGTGAGAGGAGAATGAAAGCAAAATATTTCAGTCCACTGAAAAACAATTTTATGGACGTGCATTGAATTTTAATGAATGTAATTGTGGAACTTCGTAAACACAAAATCGAAAAAATAAAGTACATAAAAATGTATAAAAGCACAACAAGCAATAAAAATCGTTTATATAATAATTTTCAGAATAAAGTTCGAATTTGTGAAAACAAACAAATTTTTTGATAAATATTTCGTTTTGAATAAATAAATCCACGATTTCCGCACTTGTTTAATTCTGCGGCCCAAGAAATGTATGGACTTTATTAACCTTGTTTTGTATAACTTAATACAAATATACACCGAACTTATCTTCAACATTATAAAATTATTAATATCTTAAACAAGGTATTGCTTACTTACTTAGTTACTGTTGTCCTCTTCTCTTTGTGAAGCATAGAGCCTCTAAACCTAAACCTTGTACAAGGTACAAGATAGTTTAACGACGTGAACTCTCATTAGAAAGCCGAAGACAGTACATTCGAAAGGATTCACGATAATTGGAAACAGTTTAAGCTGAATTTCGAATCATAAGCATCCATTTTACAAAATTAAGACTGCGTAATTGTGTATATTGAGGGAACATACTGTTGTATGTGAAATGCTTAGATAACATCTGACAAATTATAGCACAATCTATGAAGGGTCTGGAATTCTTATGGACCCAAAATCAATTTTCAGTATTATCTCTATAGAATTCTGTTCGACTCAATACATCGGGGTCCATACAAGTTAAGATACTTGCGCATTCTATTTGTCCACTGCGGGTATCAATTTTAGTCCTAAATAACAAAAATCGAAACTCTAACGCAACAATGCAATACACGGAGAGGTTAAATGAGTCGCGTTTTCGTTAAAACTACGGAACAGGAATTTTATTTTGACTTTTGTTTTGTATAAATAAAAGCAGGAGTGAGGGGAATGAGTTTGTATAGATCAGAACAAAATAGATTTGAAGTCGTAACACATTTTATAAAAATACAATGATATTCCACGACTAAGTATATGCTACCTACTATGAGAAGAAAAGTGTTAGTTCCCGGAGTGATGAACTTTTTTCTTAAATAATGATTTTAATATGGGCATTAGCAAGATTATTGTTAGCTTTTTTCAGTTGGAAGATAAGAACAAACGCCTAAATATTAACTTTTTCTTATTCTTTTCTTTTTCTTTAAAAACTGCCATTTTCTTATTATCTTCTTGACATTGTTCCTATCATATGCCCACATGTTTTAGTGAAATAGATAACACACTCCCTTGACGAATTACTAACTACACCACTGTTTCGAAGATAATGCAAACTTAATCCCACTTCAGCGTGCCAACATCAACTCAAGTATAAATCATCGAAGAGATTGTTCAGTTAGACATTGATTTGAATATTCAGTTTACACTCTCTGATTTTATTAACATTTGTAGTTTATTTAAATCTACATTTGCAAGTTCCGTGACACAATACACAGATCAGCTAATAGTCATAAGAACATATGCCCAGATGACAACAGCTACAGCGTCGAGGTCATTAACATGATTTCGGAGATTTTTGAACGTACGAGTGTGTCGAAGCTCACAACGTACGAAAATGCCACATAAAGTTTTTATGTGATAATAAAACAGCAGTAAACCATTTAAACGGGATTAACCGGGTTAATGGATGCCAGCGTTGTAACGTTTAAAATCGACAACAAACAGCGAAGCGCGAACTTCATATGTGGCAAGGACTTTTGTTGATACGAAAGGAGAATTTTTTATAGGAAAACAAAACTGAAATACAATTGACATTAAAATGTGAAAATTGTTTTCTTTTTATCTTTTCAATGTAGATGCGAATATTATTTTATTTCAAGCAATCAAGATACTTTAATATCTTTAAATTTTTTTAATTTTCCTTAATTTCTAGACACATTAACCTTTAATGAACCCGACTGACAATTATAAGAAGAATATCAATGTTAAATGTTAATGTATTTAATTTCAAAATATCAGTGAAAATTTATTTTCTCATAACTCATAATTTAAGAATAATTATCTCTTTTTTCTCCTAAGGTCACTTCTTAGAGGTATATTGCGACACGACGATTCGTCAAACCGAGTTCTGTGGGTGGATGAGTTGCAGATGTCATTCATTTTAGAAATTCTTTTTCTTCTTATTATTAGAAGAAATTTTATTCTTTGAGTTTTTTATGGCACTTTAGATCTATAACTGATCACAGATTCCATTTGAAATGTTGTTCCTAAACTAAAAATGTGTGAGTTTGTTTATTGCAACGTGCGGGTAACTGCAATTTGTTTTTTCACAATTTATATTTATTATGAATTTTCCCATCTCCAGAATTTGATATTTACAAAAAAAAGTCTCAAAATAGTCAAATTTCATTTTTTTAGTAGAAAACTTCAATTCTGCGTTTTATTTTCCAATCAGTTATTACTTTTTATTGCTAAGTATTATATTAAACAATATAATGTATAAAATAGTTTGTATATAGACCAATCCGCCCCCAAAACTTAAGCATTCACCTATTCAATGAATATCCAAAGTCCATCTGTACTGCTGCAATGATTCGATGTATTACTGCACAGGAGACAGATTAATCAGAACTGTTTAATTCAGAGCAAAAAGCACTTCTGTTATGAATTGTGAATATAACCAACTCCATATTTCAACCTCATTTTTTACTTTTTGTTATGAATAATTTTTATTTATTTTAATCAGACGCATTTCCACTATAGTTGTTCTTTACTACCACTTCTCTCGAAAAAAATTTGCATGTTGCGAGTATCCCTTAAGAGCTTTTATGTTTTTCTGGTTTTTATTTTATTTTCAACCCGCGAACGCCAATTATTTCTACCGAACGTTTAATATCCTTTTGAAGCTAATTTAGTTGATGCAACTTTCCGACGGACAATTTGTAGATCCACCTTTGATGTCATGCACTGCGCATACGAGTGTAAATTCCGAAAGCCGTCGTCGTTGTCCCTGCAATCGCAAAACTTTTTCAAAGTTCCGAAAATTCTTTGGTTTTTGCAGTATTTGTGTCGTGCGGTGATTATAATTTCTTCTGCTCTTGGAGGACAATAAATGTGATAATTTATTTTCGTGCACAATGACCGCTCTGCAAACCACTTAAGTGCACTTATGGGATATGTAAGCACTGGGAAATGACACATTGACCATACTTTTTTAAAATATTTTCTTTAATTCCGTTGGTTTTTGTCTCTTAAAATATTTATGTGCATTTAATATGGAAGAAATTGAAAAAGGACGAAATATGTGTGTGTTATGCTTGCATTTAAATAAACGAATGGAATGAAATCAAAAAGATTCTACTTGTGTATCTGAAGTAGAAAAATATTTTAATAAAAATGGAAAAAATTTTCGTAAAACTATGATTGCTGACATAACTACGAAAATGAACCACAAATTTTAAAGGGACAAAATAAGTGGTAAAACTTAAGTCGAGCATATATAAAAAACAGCTAAATCCAACGCTGACAAGTGCAGACAATAAATTCCTCCACTCCCTGCTTCTGTCATCCCTACAACCAAACTAAAGCCTTTCATTAATGTTGAAGAGCATGAGGACTATTACAGTCTCTTTCCTCGAATCAAACAATTGTTTCGTAGTTTGCACTGCTGGTGCTGTTGCTGTTGCTAACATTTATTAACCAAAATGAATGAATGAATGTGCAATGGAAATCGGCGCAACAAAGCCGTAAGGTTTGTGGTTGTCAGCTGAGTGCGTCTTGTGGCCGAAATGACAACCACAATTTGCGTGCTTAATACGTTGTCGGCGACGGCTTATCAAAAAAAATCTGTCAAAGTAACCTTGTATGACGCTGCAGTAGTTGCTATGACAAGGTTGCCAACACTCCAACGAGCCGAGCAGAAATTAATTTTAAACCATTGTGAAGCAATAAATATGAAGCACGATGGATTTGTAAGAACTCTGCAAAAACAAAAAATTCACTTCTATCTGCACAAGAAAATAATTTCCATTAACCATAAACCTTTTTGAAATGCTCGTACCACATACTTTCTAATACCCAGGGTACGTCAATTTTCATGTTACATGTTCGCTTGACAGACAAAGCTGCTGCTTATTTACATATCGAACCGAGTCCTGTGCACAGCAACTCTCTGTGTCGAACAACCGACGACATTCAACAGAAAGTAATTAAAATTTAATTAAAATGTTGGAGTTGCAAGTCAGCGCCTGTGGATATGGGCGTGCATAGGGCGTGGGTGTACAGCGCGCGTTGTCGTGCACAACAAGCGAGGCGGTCTGTTACACACAGCAAAGGTCAGGCTTATGCTGTGGTATTTACGCGTCAGCTGTCGGACAATACGCTAAAATTCAACTTACAACGCATCATATTGAAACACTGTTAATGTAAAGAGGTGTCCTGATCCGTATCAGTGCAGATATAAAGTATTAGATGTAAGATAAAAGCTAAAAAAGCAGAAGAAGTTTTCAAATTATAAGTAAAGGCGGTCCTGAATACTTGGATCACTACTGAATTTTATTGTATATAATCATTCACTTAAACCGCATTTACTAGTTTAAAATATATATATAAGATTACAGCTGATCGGAGTAGACATTCATAAGTAGTCATATCATATATAATACTTCTCAGTTTTAAATGTTTTATAATCACTTGAGGTTGTTTATTAATTGGAAATATTTACTTTGCTACCCACAACACGGAATGTTTATATCTATCTAAAAATGCTAAATAAGTCGATCTCTGCATAAACTTAAATAAAGCAAAGTAAAAGCGCGTACGGTCACGAACAACCATCCTCTAACGATAGCCGCCGACAATACTACGCTTATAATTGAGAATGTGAAATGTATTCTACTACCTTAGTAGGTGATGAAATCGATATTCCGTGGACAGCGGAAGGCGCTCTCCCGCCAAAGGAAAGTTCTGCTTTCGCTGCATAAATTAATACGCACACATCTTCAGATATTCAATATCTGCTGGAAAACAGTTCGACAGCACTACTCTAAAGCTTTGAAAATCAAAGCTAACATCTACTGTGCAATTCCGCGTCGTTTGTTCGGAATTAATCCCCAGCGACAATCTCGTGGACTTTATGAACAGCATTTTTTCCAGAACAGAAATCAGAAAAGTAATTGGACATGGATGTCTAATGTCCATCTTAAGAACATTGAACAATAATAACATGAAAATAGCTCTTCAATGGATTACGCAATATAGCCATCGATAGGGTCGACCAAACAATAAAGATGTGATTCTCGTAGACTGAAAAACCTGCGTTACATTGCACTGGAGTGCGACTGTTACAGAAATTTTGTTAGAGTCATCACCTCGGCAAAAGGTATTAATGTGTATTTGTATATAAACTTATGAAGACGAAACTAATGAGCAATAATAAAAGTAACAATTATAGAAAATAATTTTGTCCGTATTATGGATATATGGTAAGAGACTTGAGAGAAAGAAAAAGTAAGGATTTATTATTTAACTTATGTCCAATCAATCTATATTTTGCATGGTTGCATTATAATGTGAAGGGTGAAACGAAAAACGCCGAAATACAGCTGAAGGGAGTTGATGTGGAGTTGATTGCCATCGTCTTCTCTCGAGCACCAAATTAAACATTTGTCTGTATGTACTTAAAATGCATTCGAAATCAGCACGTAATAATTTTCTTTACTTGCATGATTTAGACTAAAAGGCAAAAACGATAATAGACAAATTAATAAATAATAATAATAATTTAAGTTCTTGACATTTCTCTCTCAGAGAATGCATAGCTTGAATTCCTGAATAACTTTGTTTCACAAATACTCGTACTGTACACAAAGAAAATAAATTATACAAAAAGTCCATTGTTGGTTTTTGGATAATAATTTATGCATCCGTTACTGGCCGAGAACGCGGCGTTTTGTGTTTGTTTGGCTGCCTTCTTTACTGGTGCAACCCACAATTTGCGAAATTTTTGTAGTTTCACACTTCACTGGAACGAACACAGCCATTTTATGTTACTTTTCACACAATTTTTATGACGCTGCGATTCCTTTGTGTAGATTTACGGATTTAGTTTTCACATATATGTACTTTTATTTCATTTTAATATTTGCAGAGTGATTGCAGAGTGGGTGGTTCTGGTCCGCAATTGCACAGCAAATTGTTTGCGTCCTCCTGGCTTAGAACGCGTGCCTACATATTTCAATGTCCTTGATCCGTGATTCGGGACTTATTACACTGCTCAAAGCCCTCGTGCTGCTTTTATTTACTAACCTAAATTGCAACAATTTTTTTGGCTCTGATTTTATTATAATTCCGAGTTTATTTTCGAACGTTGTTGATACTTCAATCGTTTGAGAACTGTAAAAGGCATCGTTAAATTTACTCATAAACAGCACCAAAAAACACATTATTTAGGAAACGGTTCTACTACCCACAATATATTTAACTAATAATACATAAATTATTCCATTTTAATTTAAATAAAAAATAAATCTTAGAAGTAAAATAATGATGTACTTAGGATAAATTCCAAATTCGGAATTTAATAATAGGTTTAATTTACATAAAATTTGTCCAATTATTTTTCTAATACTTTGTTACCCTTTGTTTCAGCAGAAACATCCTCATGTTATATTTGAGGCGCGCACTAAAGCCAACAAAGGATGTGCCAATTCCGGCAATTTAGATTCATGGCGTTTGTCTCGCCGCACAAAGCATCTTTCGGCCGGTGTTATTGATGAAATTCATCCAAATGGAGCTGGTCGGTACAAGCGTGATGTACGTGAAGCAACAAAATATATTGAAACTGCTATAATTGTTGATAAAGCCATGTTCGAGAAGCGGAATGGAAGCACTCGAGCTGAAGTGATACATGATGCAATACAAGTGGCTAATATAGCCGATCTGGTAAGTAAATGGAGACTTGTTCACTTGTGCTAATGAAAAAAGAGCTTTCTTTCATAAATATATATGAAGAGCATAACTAAAAATGTTTATTATTTGAACATACAATTACAAATTTTAAGATTTAGCTATTTTATAAAGCTTCCTCTGGATATACATATATCCTCGTAAAGTTATTCAAACAACCACACATATGATACTATAGTAAAAAGACATTAAGAATACTGGCACGATTAAAATTTATTTTTTAAAAAAATCACAAATTTTTTTTCGAATTTAACAACTAGTGGCTAAGATAATTTTTTGTAGATTTTAATTACTACAATTACTACCTATTCATACTACCTATTTATATACATATTTTATGTGTAATAACTGTATATTAAATATTTAACTCACAAAAAATTTAATTCATGAATTTCAATAGACATCACATTTTTTTATCTATTATGGCTGGTCTAGGTTTCTGTGGAAAATCCTACAATTTGGGTATATTCTTTGTTTTTTTACCAAACATTTAAATATTTTATGGTTTAAAATTATCAAAATTGATATTTTCTACACGATCTTTTCGTTTTGTTTCTATCTATAATAAATAGGAAATGATTATTTCTTTAATTTTTTTTTAAATTTAGTGCTAATTAAGCAATATAGAAACTTTAATGAACCGCTGCACTTGGTTCCTAAAAAAATTTTTCTCAAAATCTTCTACAAAATCTTAAACACAAGCCAACATACTCACTCTTCTGGTCCTCTTATGCTTAAACATTGTCTAATTTTTCTCTATTCAAAAAACATGAAATAAACTGTTAACACGGCGGTAACAAATGTGCCATTGAAGTGAATAAATATTTTGCCTGACTAGATAGACGCATTGCTGAAGAGTAGAATGAATAGAATGAACATAGATTGCGAATCCACATTAATTTCTTTTTACGAGAACCTCTTTTACAGAGAAGCCGTAGTGAAAATTTTAAAACTTCTAAAATGCAGAGCATAAATCTTAAGTTGTCCCAGACGAACCTCTTGGAAGCAATTTAGAAGCCTCCTTCGTAGATTTGTGGCAACACATTTTTGTGGTTACAGGTTTTGTTTTATTGCAACGCTTGCTCTCTGCTTTCTTTTCCTCATTCCACACACCCTGACTGAACAGACTGAACTGAACTGACTGCACACAAACAAATCCAAATACTATTTATGGCTTCGTTACTTCCATTCAGAATTTGAAAATTTTGCCTTTGTTTTACTATATCCAGCTTTTGTGTTAGCTTTTAAATCCTTTCTCTTTAAAAAAGAAAAAAATGTAAATCAATTTAAGAGTTTCTTCTTTTTGCTAAAGGTATAAACTTATTAATTCATTTTAGATTTTACTCACTCGATTCATACTTCAAAGCAGGATTACATTAATTAAAACAAAAGTGACTTAGAAGTTTCAACATAAAAATTAATAATTGGCAGAGTGGAATTGCCGGCGAAATAAAAAATCTAATTACAAATTGCTTGGGTTCCTGCAACGTTACGACAGTATTTAGAACTTCCATTTCATTTTGCTAAAGTTTTTATAAATTGTCGCAGTCATAATATAAAACCATGGCAACAACATCATTGTTCTGAGCATGGATTTGGTGTGCTCTTAATTAAAGTGCTTCTCCTCAATCATTTTCCTTTGACCAAAATGCTTCGCAACTCCGACTTAAGCAAACGTTATTTATGCAGCTTCCTTTTATTTTACTGATGATAGCTGTCAGAACTAATGTTGTAGATGAAGGTTCCAAGTGTATCCGCATTTCGAGTATAATTAAATATACGTTGGAATTATTTGAAGAGCCCTTCGCTTTCCTTATTGTACGATGTCGTATATATTGCATTTGTCTGCTGATTGCCAGCAAAGCTGGACAGCATTCAAAATATAATTAATTTTCTAATCCTTACTCTTTGGCATTCACTTTCTTTTGTTTAGTGAAATTTAACTCAAGACAAACATGCTTCCATCTATTCTAGTTTGTATTGTAGCCACTAAATGAATTTTGGCACGTGAACTTTGATCCATTAATTTGGCAAAGCCTCAAGTAATCCCGTACCTCGATAGCAGTAGAAAAACAGAATAAATAGAATAAACGGAATAAACAGAATAAACGGAATAAACGGAATAAACAGCAGTTCATGTGGGCGAAACAATAAAGAAAAATTATATTGAAATTATTGTAACAACAAGAACCATTACCACGCCCATTGCTTCCACTGTGCACAAATCATCAACAGCAAATGACCAACACTTCGGAACCAATGGCTAGCTGCAAGTACCAAGTCTTCTTCCAAAATAGTCACAAAAACTGTTACGGTTGCGTGTGGTCATTAAACTGATGTGAGATACAAACTTTTTATATCGTTTATCTTTCCTTCTCATTGTTGTAAACATTTATGATTACCAAAAGCTTGTTGCATACAACAACAATGCTGAATTTTGACGCAGTAAATACTATCAGGATTTGTGCTTATGAGCGTTCGTATAGAACCCATTAGGAAAGCTGCAAATTTAATTGTGTTTTCTCTATACTAAATACTTTGCCATACCGCCTGCAATTATGAAGATTAATTGTATATTTCACAAGTTTCAGGATAACATTAGTACAAACAAGCAACCGTAAGAAATGCAGATACAAATTCGACATAAATTTAAAGGTTTAGTGATAATTGAAGGCAGCATCGCTAAGAAGAGTATAATTTGAATCTATTTCAATAAGAAACCACAATGTGTCAACATAAATAAACTGTAGCAACGACTAACTAAAGCTCGAAGGATATAAGGCAGTGGGAAATAAACGCCATCATAGATTAGGTGAAGTGAACACTGTTCTACCCATGTGTAGAATTATTAAAATGCTGTATTTGGTTCAACTTAGTATCACTTGGTAGCTATAGTATTTAGTGTTTTGGGTTATAAAATCACTTGCATGTCTAACCAAACTTTACAATGGAGGTGGAGGTGGAGGTACATATTCTGTGTTATATACCTATAGCCACTTTTGAATACACATATATACTTACTCTATGTTAACTGAACGAAAAGGCCCATTTTTGCAATTGCTTTTTCATTGTTTTCCTCTTTTCTTTAGGCATCTGTGGGCACGGTGTAAGGAGGGAATTTCTTTAGTTGTGTTTATTTTGCTTTCTTTTGCAACTTCCGACTAATCCATTTTATTTATTGCTCCACACACTCTAACTTTTCATTATGCCATTAGCTGCAAGTGCAAAATGCAAGTCATCTATCAACAGAGAGGTATGAATATTGCAACCTTTCGGACTATTAAGCTGCTAAGCTCTAATATAATTCATAATTCCAACTTATGGTGTTGTGTGTAATTCTAGTTGATGACTCCATTTCAGCTCAGTGGGCAAATTATTCATAAGAGCAGCAGAGTCTTGTCCATTAAAATAAAAAAAATTCAAATATTTGTATTTAAAATGTGATCAAAAACAATGTGAACATATATATTCAATAGAAAAAGAAAGAATTATCAAGGTACATTATCTACTTGTAATAATACACAATAAATCAAAATTGTTTTAAATGGTGTTTATTCAAATAGGTAACTACAATATTGCTTAACGTAAAGAAATTTAATCAAAACTAGACAGTTACAGATAATGACATGGATTCCAGGGTAAACAAAAGTACAATTTTTACTAAAAATATTCATAACTGCAACTAAGATTTAGGTAAGAAATCAATGATCACTATAGAAGTGCTGTCTGATCCCAGAACATATATAGCTGGTACAACTGAATTTAAACCAATTGATCTGTATTTTAATAGAAATGCAAATATAAATAAAATAGTAAAATAAAATATAAATAAAAATATGAGTATGAATCGTTCGTCAGCTGAACTTATTTAGATCAAATTCAACATTCATAAAATAGTATCTACATTTATCATGCATATAAATTCAACGAAATACTTTTATTTCTTTATCTTGTTCGTCATGCCTGCCGTTTATTGCCTTAAAAGCATAGAGTGAGCCCATTAAAATCTTTTTTTCATTCGTCAAGATACTGCTCCATTCTTTAAACTCTTCGACAACAGTTCCTCCCTCTTTTCCTCGCTATCTTTCAAACTTTATCCTCAAATGTAAGTCTTGCGTCCCCATTAGGTTTACTTCCCTCTAATTCTGCCTTAAAGACGCTTTTGGCAATTTTCTACTGCGATATTCTTAACATATGACTGAACCGTTTAGGTTAGCGGCTCTATACTTTATGTCAAATGTCAGTAAACCATAGCTCCCTTCTTATGTGATAGTTTCTTATCATAAAGTTATCTTACTGTAACTTTACTCTTAAACGTCGGTATACAAATTACAAATGACTGACAGAAGAAAAACAGGTCGTATAAATTCTACCATAACTTTGAGATTGCTATTTAATATATCGGTAGTATAATATACTAGAGCTACATTACAAGATATTATCAAATATCAAATCTTGGACTGAGCTTCATATTATAAAAGTATAAAATATCTTGAAAATTAATTTGAAAATTTTTATTTAATTTTAACAAATTTGATTTTATAAATTTTTATTTTCAGTACTTCCGAACTCTGAACACTCGCGTATCTGTTGTGTACATTGAAACCTGGGGAAAAAATCAGGCGGTTATCGATGGTAGTAAAGACATCAGCAAAGCTATTTCTAATTTTAATGACTATACTTCGAGGAACCTTTTCCAAATCGAACGAGATACAACACAACTTCTAACGTAAGTTATTTTTATCGCATTCTTAAATTTATGAAAGAGTTTTTAAACTGCATTTGTATTTATAAGTTTTTGGATTAAATATTGGCTATATAAAAATACTTTAATTATAAAAAAGAAGCATAAAATATACATTGTGACCGAAAAGTTTTCGGAAATTCTCATTTAAAATTCGCGCGCTATATATTTTTCGATATTTTAAGTTTATGTAGTTTGGCAGCACTGTCCTTAATTACTATGCCAAAAATGAGCGCGATCTGTCAGACAGTTCGTTTACGGCAGCTGTTGAAACCAGTTCACCTCAGTAGTGCGTTGCGAAAAAAACAATGGAAAAAAATATTGAACAAAGAGTTTGCATCAAATTTTGTGTTTCGAACGAATTTTCGTGTGCAGAATCGTTGCGAATGCTACAAAAGGCTTATGGGGAATCAGTTTTATCGAAAACTCAAGTTTATGAGTGGTACAAAGCCTTTCAGGATGGAGAGGAAAAGACGGCCGAAACCGAAAAAACACGCCAAAGTCGCTCGAAATCAAGGCAATGCTGATTGTTTTCTTCGATATTCGTGGTGTGGTGCATCATGAATTCGTCCCTGAAGGACAAACAGTCAATAAAGCCTATTATTTGACTGTTTTAAGACGTTTGCGTGAAAATATCCGCCGTAAACGGCCTCAATTGTGGAAGGATAATTCATGGATTTTTCATGACGATAATGCTCCCTCGCACCGAGCCAACATTATCAACGATTTTAAGGCCAAACATTCAATAAATACCATCGAACAGCCCCCGTATTCACCTGATCTTGCACCGTGTGACTTTTTCCTGTTTCCCAAACTCAAATTACCACTCAGAGGAACGCGTTTTGAATCCATAGAAGACGTAAAACAGAATTCGCAGAGGAAACTCAAAGCCATACCGGAAAGCGCCTATAAAAAATGTTTTGATGATTGGAAGAAACGTTGGCATTTGTGTATCGCTTCTAATGGAGCATATTTTGAAGGAGATAAAATAAATATTGATGAGGATTAAGAATTTTGCGTTTTATTTAAAATTTCCGGAAACTTTTCGGTCACAATGTATAGGTCAAAAAACTAATGCATACCAATTTCTCCAGAAAAAAAGTTTTCAGTGTATATGACGAAAACTAAAATCCGAACTTAAACGGTAGAATCCTTTTGTGGTATCTTTCGCAGTAAATAATAAAAAATTTATTACTTCGTGACCACAAAAAAAACCAAAAACCATTTAATCTCTCAGTGATGTACGCAGCAAAATGCTTTCCTCACATCACACATATGTCACTCGAATCCAGAAAAAAAACTTAAATACATAACGTAAATATTTTAACCAATTTACAGTGTCTTTAAAAAGAAAACGAGGGGTAAGAACTTGTAATCTTATCCGTCAGTCTCGTCGCATATTGTGTCACTTATAAAGCTTCCAAGACTCAATAGCTTTTATGCCTGCCAGTCATTTGAAGGAGACCGAACGATTTACGGCATAAAAATATGTTATGAATCGACGCCTTCCTAAGTGAAATTGAATTTGTACCGCACGTCGCAATCGTGCTTACAATATTTTATCATTTTGGGATTTCAGTTGCTCAAAGTAGTTAAAATTTAATTAATTTACTCCTCTGAGAGCTGAACACTAAATTTTTTAATGGCCAATTAAAATTTCATTTAAATCAATAAAAAATTTAAAACAATTTGAAATACATATCCGCCCAAGTCCTAACTGAGCTCAGCACTCAGTACAGACAAAAGAATCAAAATTAAAACAAATGATTAATAGTAAATTTATGCTTTCTCAATTCGTGGCAAAATCCTGTCCAGCACTTATCCTCTGAATTATTTAAACAACCAATTTTGCAATTTTGCCGGGGAACATGAAATTTTCACATCAAGAGCAATTTAATTCTGTTCAAGGAGGGGTAAATCACAGTTGTCTGCCGAGTAAAGAGGACCCGGTAGGTGTGTTTTATTGTGAGGAGGAACTTATTTTACATACATATAAATATATAAATACACTGGAAAATATTTCGGATTTTGTGATAGAAAGTTTTCATTTAAAATTCTGATTTTATTTGCACAACATTTGAGGGATAATAAATTTTAATATTTAAAGAATTTGTTCAACCACAAAGTATTTAAAGGACCTCAGCGGCTCAATACTGTGTACATGTGTCGTTCATGTATATGTAGCAAAGTTTTTAAATTATTTTTAATTTTACATACATAAGGGAATTGATTCCAAATTAACTTTTGTGTAGTTTTCAAATTTTTACAAATTGATTTACTAAATTTTTACAACAGAAATGGAGAAGAATGTTAAGCATAATATACAAGACTTGGTCATTTACCGATGAATTAGTTGAACCGATGAATTAGTTATAATTAATAAATTATTTTTTAAAATGTATGATTCACTGTATGCTTATTAATTTGCTCCTATATTTGCGCCATATTTATTGCTATCGGCTCTACTAGTTAACGACTTGAACATTTGATCGATGTTTCTTCAGATTCTTCAGATTCTTGAGAAGCTGAATTCTTTTCAAGTTGTTTTCGAGAGAGAAAGTTGCATATAAGTTATAATACATATGTTAAAATAAATGTGTATAACACAAAGTCCATTAAAAATACTATTCAAAGGACCAATCAAATCAATTAGAATTTCATTTAGGTATCTATTAGTTCTAAGCAAATGATAGTTATTTATATATCTATGAGGATAATTTTTGAGACTTATATCACCAACAAAAGTAAGTTTCAAGTGTCTGTAAAAAAGTGTCTGTAAAACTATATCTATGAATTTAATGAATAGGAGGAAATACATTTTAGAGTTGAGTGTATTTTTGAATCCAATAATGTGTTTGACATAGTGAACGGATATGTTATTAATACGTGGCAAAGGTGGATATATCGTTTTGCATTAAACCGAAGAGTTCAAGATGTATTTGAAGTTTACCAATATTAAAGAAGTCGAATATGTTATTAATACGTGGCATAGGTAGATATATCGTTTTGTATTAAAGCGAAGAGTTCAAGATATACTTGAAATTTGCCTATATTGAAGAAGCCAACTTAGCATTTTTTTAGCAATATTCACGCAAAATTCATATGACATTCCTATATTAATCTTACCTGTCGTGAGAGATGACCCTTTCACATACAACAACATCGTCTACCTACTGTCGCAAATATAATTTCATGAATATTATATGAATTCAAGCAATCACCTTCTCCATCGACTCCATTGACTCATATATGCACATTTTGTTATATTGGTGCTTCGGTCACAGGGACAAACTATCAATGAATCTTGTTTGGCTCGGTTATGTCACACACTTCCTTTTTTTCTACGTAAGAATGATCGTTTTGGGACATTGGCAATGGCTGCGTTGGATGATATATTACGCCTTTACTAACGCATCGTGCAACTTCTTTTGTTTAATTAATGGCAATACGACGGCTTTTGACACAAGTCAAAGGACAAAATTACTAAAATGGGAAAATTTTGTAACCGAGTTTCACCAATTCGACGCTCTTTGGAATGCCGTTACCGCGCCTCTGCCTCTGCCTCTGCTTCTGCCGCTGCGGAGTGTAAAGGAAACTTATATTAAAACTCAGAGTCGACATAGGATACTTACATAAATAAATAACAAAATATATGAGCCAATTTTATTTACAAGAAATACAACAATAGCAAAAAGCAAAAACGAATCGTTGATAAGAAGCAGTAAAAGACGTAACCAAAAGGGTTTCCTGAGCCCATTTTCTCATGTAGATATAATAACCAAATAATGCCGAAATTTGAACGTGAGTGTGCAAATGTGCTGGCTCATAAGAGGGACGCAGTGGGGTTGATGTGTTAACGTGGGATGTTTGAAAAATGTGCTGCAAAATTGTTTTACAAGTGTAAATTGTCAGGCAATTTGATTAGGAGTAAGAAAGTTTCTATGGATTAACTTTTGCATGCTTGAGTGAATGTTACGATTAATCAAGTTACTTAATATACCACAGGGAAATGGTTGTAAACTCTCTTTAAGCAGTAGTGTACATTTTATAGTATTTCTTCGATAAATAAATCAAAAAAAAATTCTGAATTAAAGTCATAAAATACAAAAATGATATAATTGAATTATTTTTTTCCATTTGCTTTTTGTTAAATGTTTAGTCGCACATATTTAAAGCATACATAACGAAGTAGTAAAACCTTTATGGCGATGCCTGGGTATGGCCCATCAAACGTAACTAACTTCCTGGCGAAACAACATCAATGACAGCAATCGAATTCACAAATTTATGCAAACATGAACAGAATTTACATATCATTGCCTTTTGGCTTTTATGTTGCAAGTCCTCATGAGCAAATATGAACTTCAAAACGTGTTCAACCTACGTTCCGCCTTCACGTTGAGCTACACTCCCCCTATTAGCAACGTCAATATTCGAATATGAATATTTGCCTGTTTAGCAATTTCGCGCTCTAATGTGTTTTGTTATTATTTACGCCTTCTCTCAGTCTCAGTCTCAGTCTCAGTTTCAACGGATTTTCGTATTTTACGCCAAAGCTTGGATCGCACGAAGCAGTAATGCAGGGAACATTTTACCCTTGAACGAGACTGGCACAATGTGTACAAAAAAATGCACATGAAATTATAAAACAAACGAAATACGAAATTCGTAGGCGAAACCAAAAACTTGTATTTGTGTGAGTGAGAGTGAGTGTGAGTGTGCAAAAGTGGCGAAAAAAATCTTATAATTTGTGACTTTATTAAAGTGTGCACATGAAACAGTTTTTCTGATTCCTCGTCGTCATCGCTTCACTTTCACTTGTGCCAATTATGAAACTCAATAAACAAAAAATATACGAAATTATTACAAGCTAAGGAACAGTGCACGTAAGCAGCTGTAAAACATACACACACAACACACACACACCACATACGGAACGAGTGTTAATAAAAGTAATAGGCTCAGCCGCACAAATACAGATGTTTGAGTCTTCGACTGGCGAAGAAAGCAGTGGGGAAAGCAAAAAGCTAAAGCTTGTTCCCTTGACGCTTCTTAAGGCTTTAAGCTAAACGCTACAAAATAGTGCAAAACGGAAATCCCTTTTATAAGCCCTTTCGGCTTTGATCATTTTGCACGCTTTTTGCTGTTTTTTTTACTCTTGTGTACTTTGTGCCAATTTATTTATTTTTTTTCTCAGTTAAACAGTTTGCCTACTCGCTTTAACGTGTCGTTAAATTCTTGTTGTTATTATTGCTGTTTGTTGTTTTTGTTGTTGTTTGTCGTTGTTAATGTTTTGCATTTTGCCTTTACAACATGTCGGTAATAAACTTAAATTTCTCATGCATTACAAATTTGTCCAAACGAATGAGGCAAAGAAACGCACTATAAAAATAGGGGGCACGGGGTTAGAAAATGTTTTTTTTCTCTGTGTTTTATTAAATTTGTGCATAAATTAAAGTTTTCTTTTTAGAAAAACGAAAACGAAAACAAAAACAAAAAGTGATAAAAATTATTCCTTCGTTAAGTTGTGTTGAAGTTAAGTGAAGACTGAGTACCACTTGTACGTCAGTTCAACTTACAAAATGCCAAAATAATTTATTTCTCAGCAAAAGTCAAATTGTTAATTTGTTTTAAATTTCACTTAATATTTACAGAGGAGAGACATTTGCTGGTGGCGAGGCTGGAATGGCTGTACCAGAAACCGTATGCACACCGCGCGCTGTAGGCATCAGCGTGGACATCAATGTGTACGAGCCGCACTTATTGGCTGGCACAATGGCGCACATGATTGGACATAACATTGGCATGGGTCATGATGATGGACGTAAGTATAATGTATCCTCAAATCAAGGGACGCCATTCAAGTCGAGTTAAGGCAATTTTACTTAACTAATCAATATTAATTTTTGTCATAAATTTGATTTACAGCTCCACAACTTTTTTGCAAGCCAAACGTCTTTTGCTATGAATCCCGCTTCATCCTCAAAATGTGAAAAGTTTTGGCAATTATTATAAAATCAACAGAAAACACCCCATATTCTTCAGTGACGTGTTCGCAACAGATAAGATTTTGTTGATTTGCCTGATGTGCCTTTTTGTACTTCCTTCCGTTTTTAATAAGTTTTTTCTTTTCCTCCTTGGGTCTTTGTATTCGTTACTGCCTAAGGACATAAATTCACTATCATTTGTATTTTAACAACAATAATATAATCATTTTGTTATTTGCCAAAATAAAAAGTCGAGACTTTTTCCTACTAATGTGCATATAGGATACTGTTCCTACCCAAAATGATCTCATTTGATTTATTTATTGCGGCAGCTCCGCATGTAGCCTTGAAAGAAGTTGATGAAGCTGATGAAAAATACAACGATATGTCCAATTCATAAATCATATTTACTATACGTACTTCCTCGGAACTTTAATCAATTCTTTGCTGACCAGAACAAAATGACAGAATTCATAATCATTCAATATGAAATTGCAACATTCCGTTGCATCTGGACATTTTTGCTGACTCAATCTAATTAAGTTTTAAGTCGCATTTTAAAAATATTTTGAAAAAATCATTGATTTGTTATATTTTATTTCTTATAACATAACATTTGAACTTTCTTGTAGGTGAAGAGTGCTTTTGTCGTGATTGGCATGGTTGCATAATGGCCCAGTCCATTGTTGGCCAAGAAAATGTGCAACCTTACAAATTTTCAGAATGCAGCAAGAAGGACTACATTGATGCATTGCGAACAGGTCATGGACTTTGTTTGCTGAACAAGCCAAATGAGGTAAGTTACAAAATACAATAGATTCACACGTTTATAATAATAAAGGATACAATTGCACTTTGCTTACAAGCAGACAAAAAAAATTTTATTTTATATTCTAAACTTTTCGGCATTTTGGTGTTTTGGTTTTTTTCATTTACACACTAAGTGAAGAATGTTAACGAAACATTATTATTTGCCAAAGGATGTTCAGCCTTTGTACTACTTTTGGCAATGCTTTTGTTCAATTCGCTATATTAGGGTTTTGTTCTGCAATTTTACAAAAACTACGTCAATCCGTGTGTGAAAACCCGTTAGAAAGTCTCTACCAACCAAAATGCAAGTACAGACGCAGTCCGAACCTACCACCACAGGGTAGGTTTGTAACTGGCATATTTCTGGTACTAGGTCACATCACTTTACAGTTGTGTCATCTTTTGAGTATGAAAGAGAATGGCATACGAAAATAAAATGAAATAAAATAGAACAGTGAAAGATAAATTTAGTAAAACTGAAAACAAATATGAAAAGGGTAAAATTGTACTCAAGAATCTTTCTTTTCACTTCGTTATTCATTCACTTTTTCTTTTAAAAGTCAATGAGCTTCTGTGCCTAAAAATACGCCAACACAAAAACACAGAAACACAAAAGTGACATTGTGTATGTAAATGCTTGCATAGGAGACGACCTCATTCTTCTTTTATTCACGTTTACAGAGACAACATAAACAAGTATTTTACACAGACATACACACACAGATGTATGTAAATAACCACGCGTATCAGTATTGGAGTATATTGTGTTGTGATGTTTTCCTCTTGCCAGCGGCAGGTTAATTACAAGCCTGACACTTGAGCATCCTTTATTCAAAACAACAACAGCATCACTAACAGCACTAACAGCAGCAGTAGCAGCAAATTTCATGCATGATGTCACACTTAAAGCTCACTCTGGCATGATTATGTCAACTGTTTTAAGAAAGTGCTCCATGCTCCATTCTCCGTATTCCGTGTTCGGTGCTCGGTGCTCGGTCCTCGGTCCTCGGTACTTTATGTTACTACAACACTCTTGAGTTAACATTTCTTCTGTTTTTCTTTCTGTTTTTTGGATTACATCACCACTAAGTTAACGATGATGCAGTTGCGAATGCAGATGACGATGACGATGACGATGCGCCAATGGTTCCCTTTGATTGTCTGGCTTCACAGTTCTAATTGAAATTTTGTGCCGAAACGACGTATTCCACGCTGTTACAAAAAGTATTTTAAATCAGTAAATAAGCAAAACTAAAAAAAACTAAAAAAAACTAAATAAAAATATAAAACCGAAACTGAAACCAAAACTAAAATTAAATGTAAATTTGCATATAAAAAACAAACGAAAATGATTTGCGTTGTTTATTCAAATAACTGAAAAGAAACCAAATTTTGCAACTACTTAAAAATCCTTTTACAAAACAGAAAACGGAAAACAGAAAATACAAAGTAGAGGACAAAAAGCAACTTAAGAAATATAAAAAGTGTTAATTTGGATTTATGTAAATTTATCCTTAGCAAGAAAAGTGCAGAAATAACAGAAATAACACTCTCAGTTCATACTCAACCTTCCCTGGCCACTTACGCAAAACTTCAATTTAATTAATTCGTCATGTAATTGTGCATAATTTAAATTTGAAAAACCAAAAATATTTATGCAATATTTATACATCTATACATACAAGAAGGAATTCATCCCTAATTAAAAACAATTTCAATTTCCTCGTATCCTTTAAAGATGCTATTACATGTGCCCCTACTCCACGAAATTCATAAAACCATTAAATTATATTAAACATAATAACAAAAAAATAATAAATTTGAGTTTCCAATAAGTGGAAAAGCTATTGAGACGCAAGGCACCGAAGGGGAATGTTTCCAAATTTTAAATACTCGCTTGTTAAAAAGGGCAACATTTTTCATGTATTCGCATGTAGGCGAACTCCTTGAAACACACAACCTACACATACATGCATTGAAAGTCATTTTCAATTCCCAGCTTCGATACGAATCGCATGAGTAATGATGCGTCGAATATATTTCAACTTGGTTGCGATATGAAAAAGAACTAAATTTTATTATTATTTTTTAATTGCGTGCTCTTGGCTTGCTTATGCGTGTCGTTTATTTCCTCCACAAACACTTGAATACACACAAATCCTCATCCAAGCACATCGAATCCGCGATACTTATACGCCATGTAGTACAGATGCATACATGCATACATGCATACATGCATGCATGCATAAAATATTATTTTATACTATTTGCACTCTTTGCTTTAACCTTAACCAACTTTTCGACACTGTTCTTAACATTTCAGATCGAAATGCGACGCAATTGTGGCAACAAAATTGTTGAAGAGGACGAGGAGTGCGATTGCGGCACCTTCGAGGAATGTGCACTGGATCCTTGCTGCGACGGCATCACGTGCAAACTGAAATCGGAGGCACAGTGTGCCAGCGGTGCGTGCTGCGACCAATGTCGTGTAAGTTCTCCATCCTTCTGCCATAGGCAAGTGCGAGAAGTGTTGTAGTTGGTGCCTTTTATTGAGATTACAGCTGCGGGCTTTGCCGAACAGAAACAACAATATTTTTATCTCATATTTGTGCTTGCCATAATATTAATTTTATAACTTTTATTCCTTCTTATGCCTTAAATCCTCTCCCCTTTTTAATTGTTGGATGACTTGCACTTTATGCAAACAGCTCAGATCGAAGGATTACATTTGTCGCGATTCGCATAATGAATGTGATTTACCGGAATATTGCGACGGCGAAAACGGCCACTGCCCAATCGATGTGTATAAGAAGAATGGCTCACCATGTGGACACACGAAGGCCGGAGTATCTGGTAAGTACTGAAATTGTTTTAATTTTTTTTAATTTTTGAAAAAAAAAATCAAAAAATAATATGTCCCAAAGTATGCGGTAATCAAGTCATCTCGATGCCAATGTATATCGTCGTAATCCTGTGGCAATAATTTAAATTGCATAATTTAATTCAGAAAGATAATTTCCGCACCATACAATGAAATAAAAACAGATTTGTATTGCAAATAATAATAACTTCATCAACTATGACTAATCATACATGTGTAACAATTTCAGAATGTGTTTTAAAATTAAAAAATCCTTTAATATTTTACGAATTTCGATTCAAACTAAATTAAATACCAGCGTATACATATAAAAAATATTTTCAACTAACTTAGAAGAGCATTAAAATATAGATTATATTTATTTATTTTAAGGCTACTGCTTCCAAGGCGATTGTCCGACATTAAATTTGCAATGTGAATCCATTTGGGGTTATGGAGGCTCAGCAGCGGATCGCCAGTGCTACGAACAATTCAACTCAAAGGGTTCTATTAATGGTCACTGCGGACGTGATGCGAATGATCATTACATAAAATGTGAACCAGAGTAAGTAGAAGCCATCCGAACTATAAACTCCAGTTTGGAACACGCTTAAAACGAAATCAAAACCAACATCCCACTATTTGCCTACTATAACAAACTGAAACTTTATATGTATTTAAATGTTTTCTTCTAAATTGTGCTTAATCTAGAAATGTACAGTGTGGCACACTACAGTGCAAAGAAGGTGAACGTCAGCCGATTAACGATGGTATCGATCAACTTTACTCAAGAACAATTATCTCGATTAAAGGATTGGAATATGAGTGCAAGTGAGTATGATACATTTAAACGCTAGTTATTTACTCTTGCAGTTATAGCAGTGCAAGAAGAGGTATCATTACTATAAGATGCGAATTGCGAGGTGAAATATAACAAAACCCAATCATTATTAAATAGTTTAGGAATGTGAAATGTAGGTTGCAGTGGCACTTCAAACATAACAATGTACATTCAGTAAATTGAAAGCCTTGCACACTACAAGAGATTCGATACTTATTCAGCATTTACAAAATCAAATTTAAATGCACTTACAAAATAATAGTATTGTATTTTAAGATTAATTATAACACAACAATTGTCATAAACTATTAATCAGAATATTTGAAGAACATACCATAATTGTATCTACAGTATTGTAATAATAAAATAATTTTAAATTTTAAAGTCTAGGAAATTGTTATTCGCCAAGTATACATTTAATTTTATTTTGATCATTTTAGAGCCACAAGTGGACAGGTTGGTTCCAATGAATATCCCGAACATGGATTAGTGAAGGATGGTACACCTTGCGGGGATAACCTTATTTGTTTGAATCAAACATGCGTCAGTCTCTTTCCCCACATCGACCAAACGAAATGCCCCAGTAACAAACAGGGTCAGGAGTGTTCAGAACGTGGGGTAAGATTTTGCGGGTTACAAAATATAAAATCAAATTAAACCATTTTAATAAACGAATTTTTGCAAATGCTTATAACAATCACAAATAAACACTAATTGAAAGTAAATAATTTCGAAAGCTGGTTCGTTTCATGAATTCGAAAATGAATGTTAAACGAAATCGCCTTTGAAATCATCATAAAACCACATCAGCACCACAAATCTAAAAACATTTTTGCCGCCACAGAAAACAGCACTCCAGAGCTGCAGGGCAACAAAGCCAAACCACTATGAGCAACCATTTCACCTGATTAATCCATCAACATGGAAATAATGTAATAAATATTCCCATAAATATAAAATAAATACGTATTCAGAACATTTGAAGCTAAGGGAACTATTAGAAACAGATATGTGAAAAGTTAGAAAAAATTTTAAAGAATTGAAATAGCTATAATCCAATTTATTTCATTTAACGAAAGATTTAAATCAATTGAATAGTAAATATTAACATTCTACCTTCTAATTTTATGTCAAATTCTCTTTACATTTTGGGACGGCTTAAACTACCAAGAATTACAATGAATGCTCTCAAAGAAAAAACCTTTTATCTATAATACTTCTTCTGATACTGCATAAAAACTATTTCTAAATTGAAAAATAATAAACACTAAGTTGATAGCATTCCATATTACTGAATTGCTTACTAATTCGACACATAGACTTTTCGGATATCTAAAAAAACTTTATAAGCCCATCTGAATCTATATCGATTCACTAAAACAACGTACCCAACGTTATTGTTTTCAACTATATATAGAATTAGAGTTCAATTCTAATTGAATCCTATTAGGAATATCTTTGAAAATAAAATAATAACTGACACTACCACAATTAACTAGGCCCGTACAAATTATCCCTAACAAAGAAGTCTTTTACCTCATTTGGGTCTAGAGTTCGTTGTAAATTCAAACATAGGATTAATTCCTTTATTTAACAATACTTTGTCACGTAGTTTGTCAGGAATTTAAGACCTACTATGTTGAATCAATGACAGCATTTCTTCTCAATAATGATGAAACCAGATTTCTTTATTATAGTCAATTATTATAATGATATCTGATAAAACATTTTAAAACTAAAATAGCAAAAATTAAATAGATGCGCTGTGATTTTCAATACTTGATTTTTCATTTACTTCGAAACAATATAATCCGAGATATTAACCTAAAGTGCGCTCTTATGCCACTAGAAGCATATTTATAATAATAATTTCGATATTTAATATTAAATAAAAACAAAGTATTAATATTGTATATTGACATGCATTAATTACACAACAAGTAATGGCATGTAATTAAAATGTACTTAAACTCACTTGAACGTAAATACATTTTCATGTTGTACGCCACTTAAACGCGTGTTGGACAACATGCAACACAGCGCTAACGAGGGCCAGGCGCGCGGTACACAGGGCATACATGGGCCACGGAGGCATAAGGCGCCTCCCTAAATAATTAATATTAAATTTTTTATTTCGCTTGTATAAATTGGGATGCTTGAATTGTATTTCGCAGGTTTGCACCAACACGAACCGCTGCTTCTGCGATATGGGCTGGGGCGGCATCGACTGTAGTTTAGTTGTTCTATTGACCACACCACTGCCAACCGAAGCACTACCAACGCAAGAAAACACAATCAAAATGGAGAAGAAGGAGACACCATATGGTAAGATAAGCACATTCCCAAGCCAATACATACCCGTTTCTGATTATACCCGATATTGATGGTTGCGTACATACATCCCAAAGAAAATTTTTAGATACATGGGATATGACAATGGTAATCATCGGACATACAACGAATACTTTTAGATCTTATGTAAATCTTAATTGACTACCTCTTCGGCATTCATACTTAACCTATTTGTTATATTAAATATGTACAGTTGAATGCATGATGTACAGAAAAGTTCGTTAAGGACTATTAATGATATATATGAAACTCTAAAGAGTTTGTTTTAAGAAAAGAAATTTTTTGGATTTGTCGAACGTTTCGACTAAAAATGAAACTTTTACAACCAATTTCTTTCATATATTTTTTTTATTTTTAAGCATTAAATACAATTTATACACATTGTAATGTTTAAATGCATAGAAAGCAATGAGTTTTAAAATAATTTTGGGTCTGTGTGAAACACTAAATTAAATCTTAAAATTCTTAAAATCTTGAATTATTTTTAAATTTACATGCCTTGGAAGAATTGAAATTAAATAAATTTAATTGAAAATTATATTTCATATTATAATTTCATTTTAATGTTTATCCCTAAGTTCGAGTTTCAACAAAGTAAATTCGTACGGTAACTAGTGACAACTTTCTCTGAAACTTTGAAACCACCTTAGCTCCCCTTTCAATTATTCTTCTACAGGATTTTGAATTTCAATGTAAATCGCTTCTATTTTAAAGTAGAATTGAATAAAAGTGCAATAATTGACTAAAATTATCAGTCAATTGGAATTTTAAATACTATCAAATAATCAGTCTCTTTTATACTCAGTTTAAATGGTCTATCTATGAAAGCCTAGACAGTTTAAACTTGTTCCATTACTTCAAAATTAATATCCTTTATAAGTTTAAACTATTTAATCTTATTTATTCTTGGTACTGCTTGTGGTAGTATTTCAAATCTTTATTAATAGTACTTTTGAATTGAATCACTGGATCTATCCGACATTAAAAGCTAATGAAATTCAATTTTAAAATACTCAAGTTTGACCGAATTCTTTTCAGAAATTGGTTAAAATCGAATAACTAATGGATATAGGGCAATACAAATACCTTTTATTATGTCTCGAGGCAAATAAATTATAAAAATAATTCAAATAGTCCAAAAAAAAAAACAAAAAAAAATTAAATAAAAAATTAAAAAACATTGTAAACAAATCGAAAAACCTATTCCAGGCACCTCAGATCAAAATAGGATCAGCACATTGTTCATGGTCATCATGTTAACCATTATCGTCAAATGTGTCTTCATTAGTTTCGCAACTCTGGCGGTTTGTTACAGGTAGAGTACCAAGCAAATTTAATCAAAAACTTAAACAAATCAAATTTTAACAAATTCATAAATAATATGAACTCAAAATTTTTACTTAATAAAATTGGATTATTTTTTTCAATCAGTCAAGAATCTCGTTTAGGGAAGCTAAACAATATATCAACTTTTTTTTTTCATTTTTTCAAAAAAGCCAAAGCCACATTAAAGTTTTTTTTTTTAAAGTTATTTCGATAAAAATTTTTTTATATTGAATGTTACGCATTTATTATGTTTTTTCTTTTATTTTCGAGTTTATTTAAAGTTTGTTTGTTTTTCACGCACAATTGAAAATTCCTTACATTGACAATCGAAGAACTTTGGAAAACACTTTTCAGTTTTTATTCACACCAAATACGACAAATAGAAGAATAACTTTGCTTGGTTTTCTGTCCTTTTAATGTAAATACGCGTAACGTATGTAAATGTTAATATTTATAAGTGTGTTAGTGTATATGCTTAATTATGTATTTGTTTTAAAATACTTTCTCTGTGTGTATTTATTGTATTTGTGAATTCTATAAAAGTAATTCGCGTGCTCTTGTATATGTGCATACCACAAAGCACAAATCTATACAATTTTGTGCATGTGTGTGTATGTGAGCGGACAATCTTTTCCAATAGAGCTCAACTACAGCTCAATTAATGTCATTGATTCGTTTGCCATTGTGTTTATGTTTTTTTCTTATTTCTGTTTTGTTTATTGTAAACATACATTTGCATTAGAATATGTTAATATGTGTGATTTGGAGTGTTGTGATTGTATGTGTGTTGCTCACATCCTAAAAACTATAAAGACTATTTATTCAGAGTATTATTTGAATTAATAAAAGGCTTAAAAAACCACCGTATCTGTCCGTGTAGTGCATCATTAGCAAATGCGGAATGACGCTGTGTCCAATGTTGTCCAATGTGTATACGAACATGTGACCACTTTGGCAGGCATTGAAAGACAACAAATAATTGAACATAATAATCCTCGCAAGCAACACCCCGTACCCTCATTCGCATCTGACTAAATCAGGTGCTGTGCGAGTATTTTAAAGTAGACACCTAAGCATATTTTTCTTTGTAACTATGTACTAATATTCAACGAATTTCTCTAATAGAAATAAACTTGAAATTATAATGTCTGTTAGTTTCTCTGATCAGTAAAAAATTATTATTATGTTCAAGTTTGTTGAGTCAGTGCACTTGAGCACTTTTACTCTTTCTTAACTCGAGTTATTTTCATAACCCTTTTCTGTGTCTTGACTGGATTACTGTTTATCTCTTCATCAGACTCGGCAATAACTGACCTCAGATCTGCATACCTCCCCGAGGAGCCTGTAACCATTCTAATGATGTAGTTAATATGGAATACGTTTTAAGTGTCTTTTAGGTGCATATTTGTAGCAAACAGTTACTACTGCATATTTTAATTATATTTTTAAATTTAAGTCCTTTGCGCAAACGGAAGATTAATTATTTTCTAATTATTCTCATATTGATCAGTTTGCATAGCATATACAGAGCTTTTCAGCATCATTAGAACTGGATACTCAAAAAATTAATATTTTCAGCAGACCCTATTCAATATAGTTGCGATTTGATATCACAATAAAAGCAATAAAGAAATATTTCCATGAAGTGTTTTAGCTAAATTCAAGAACCCACAAGTGAACTATTTTCGTTAGAAACTTTGGACCACAATTGTTAAAGAATATATTATGAATAAAATTTACCTGAATGGTCTGCAATATTGTGATTCCTTGATTGCACATGTAAAAATATCTTATTATTTAATTATTACTTGTTTATTTAATTGATTTATAAATCAAAATTCCAGCTTAGGAATGATCACTTAAAACAGTTATAATTTTCAATTGCTTAAATCAATTGCTTATATATCTGTTTGGACTAGTAAAAGTAAAATAATAACTTAAAATTGGTCTATATGAAAATCGTTTTAGTGTAATTTGTATTTTAAGCCATAGGAACAAGATGAGCTCTATATCTACCATACGATTTCTCAGTATCATGCATGCATTTTATTATATATATATCGGTTTAAGTTTACATCGGTTAATATATTTTTAAGTGTTTTATAAAATATTTGGCGTAAGTGACATAAGCGTGTACAACTCGCCTTTAATGTACTCATATTGATGTTGTTCACTATTTTAATAAGCATTACTCTGTGTATAACTCGTATGTACTTGCTGTTTACTGTACTATTAAGTGTTATATTTTATTTGCTTCATTTAATTTGTTTAAAACTCATCTGACACTCTACACACTCTGCAATCAAACATGCCAACAAGGAAACTACACGCCACTGCACACATTACAAGTGCTGTACCCTAATGAACATGTTATGCCTATGCATGCCTCGGTGTACGCTACACATAAGCATTTTACGGTGGTCGGTGACAGCAGTCATCTACTTATGTACTCTGACTTATATTATTAAATATTTCAAGCACTAAAACATAACCTGAGGATTACCATTGTCATAGTCTATCTTGAGAACGCCCATTGAGAGGCGTGTTGCGTACGAGCAACTTTGAAAAACTATCGCTAATTTATTTTATTTCTTTTGAACAATTTATGGCTATCAACATTGCGCAATGCAACAACAACAATGGATTTGTTATCGCTCCAACTTAATTATCTTCGATTTGATTATATAAAAATGCTCTAAATAATAATGCCTTTTAATAATTTAATTGAATAATAAATACAAATACAAATGACAAATTGAACAATTTAACAATTTAATTAAACAAATTGCAAACTCATGTGAAACTCGTATAGAGAACTACCACGGCTCAAATACAGTATTCTTAGTTGGTGTACTAATGTCAGTTGTTGGGTTCGTTTTTGTAACATTCACCATGATGGCACTGTGCTACAGGTCAGTTGTAGTACATAGAAACTTCTCCCTGTGTCTGAGGTTAGTTGAAAAGAAGTAATGAAAAAGTAAATACAAAAACTAAAACAACAACAAAAGTAAAATCAAAATTTTATTTCGTTTTTTATTCAAAGTTAACGATAATTCTAATATTTGGTTTCAAGCGAATGCAACAGAACTGCATTCCTGCAAGATAATTTATTTATTTTGATTTCATAACATAAATTTTACAGAAATCGTTTTCACCAAAAATCTAATACATACAACAACTACAAACACTAAACTAACACATTGCCAGACCAGTTACACATCAAACACTTACAAAACCATACATCTACAGACTCTTCCTATGCAAACTGCTCACCCAAGTACTGAACTTAACACTTCTTCTCTTTTTTTTTCCTTCTTTCTTTCTTTCCATCTTCATAAGTAGTTCTAATTCAATATGTTTTAAGCATATATTGATTAATTTTTATTTTTCAGATTTTCATTATATTCCCTATAATCGCCTCTCCCTCCCTCTGTAAATACTTCATTCCGTACTTCCCGCTCACATCGTGTTTATTTCGTATTTCGTAATTCCATGCCATAAGATTTGTAGATACAATTTTTTATTTCGATTCTTGTAAATCATACCCGTACTAGCTTCATATTCATTTCTGAACTTTTGTATTGATGTTGTAATTTCCACTACGAAATTTGTGTACAGTAATGTAATGTAGTACTTAACAAATATTTGACAATTTATGTTTTTTACCAACTTCTTCTCTTACCAACTGTTTTTATTATTCTTTTGATCTTTAAAAAATCATTAAAATTGTTTTAAATTTTTTCCCGGAAAACAATAAGGCTGAACCTATAATCCGGCTGCATAGCGTATCGCCTTCAAATAGTTTTATTTTGTCCAGGTCATATCCCCACAACTCGAATGAAGAGCGAAGAGTTTTCTAAATAAGATTTCTCCTTCATTTCTCCTACTTTCAAAGGATTGAAATGGACTCAATTAGAGAGCTGTTAACATTACAAGTAAAATTACCAATGCAACAACTCCAATTTATTTCAAATAATTTTTTATATGTAGAAGTCAAAAGCTGTAGCGCAATCCCGTGCTGCGTTCATATTCGCAACTCCTTAGTTATCCCAATTATGTTGTATAATCCATACAAGAATCTTACCACTTATCAATCACCCTCTCACCCTGTCAAAAGAATAATTTCCGTCGAACGTTCATTTTGATCACAATTTTTTATGTTCAAGAATTATTATTTCTTTCCTGAAAAAATTGTTTCTTATCACTAAATTGCTGACTTAAGGACTCTATCATTGTACCTCATTAGAGAACTTCATTATACGTTTTCACGCAAATCCGACAGATATATCGAAAGCAATCCCATACAACGATTTTAATTTCCATTTGTGCATTTCAAAAATTTCCTAAGTTTATAAAATAAATAATGTCTGAAATTTCCTAAAAAATTATAAAATTTAAAAAGAACGAAGAGAAAAAAATTTTTCATTACTACTTTTGTCGTCATTGTGACTGTTAGCATCTATGTAGACTCAGTTCAACTAAGTTAAATACTGGAATGTATGCATTACTCTACTCTAGACTAGAAGTATTTAAGAATAAAATACTTACAACATCTAAGTTAACTACTAGAACTTAAGAATTTAGCATCGTACACTTCGTATTTGCATACATAGATGATATCTTTTCTGAAAGATAAAACCAAAACAATAATTGAATTAGTACATAATCAGTTTATTAGGGGTAACTCCCAAACATATGAAGTCACTTCCAAGTCAGAGAACTATGATACGTCACACCATGTCTACAGGTAAGTACTTTTAAAACATTTTATTTGTCACATTTATAAAAAAACGTTGCTTGAGATTGCCAAGGCTTTCAAAATTATTATACATTTTTTTATGCATAACAAAAACAAGGACCAAGTTAAACTCATGCATGTCCTGAATTCAATATATCATCACTGATAGTCGCCTTAATCGTATTGGACTCTTTAACCATTGCTTAATACGATATATTAAGCTAAATCTAAATTATTTATTCATAAAAGTTGAATAGTTTGTCAGCGCAACCAAAGTATACTAACTTCCAAACTGAGTGTTAGAGTCGTCAGTATACTTGAACAGTACTCAGTTAGTATATATGATATTACCTACACTGTAAAAAATCCAAATTTTTTGTTCATACAAGTGGAGTAGTTTGTCAGCGCAACCAAAAGTATATTATCTTCCAAACTGATTGTTTGAGTTCGTGAGTATACTTGAAGAATACTCAGTTAGTATATATGGTACTGCGTACACTGTAAAAAAATATATATGACCTCTTCAATGTGTCGGCAATCGCAAAATAGCGGCAAAATAGCAATTTGGAAACAGAATTGTTACAGTTAACATATATAGCTTCTTGATTTGAAATTACTAATTATTCAAAATCGATTACATTTTTCTTCTTGAAATCGATATGCTTTTCATAATTATGAAACAGTATAATTAAGGATAATTATGCATAATTATGGATCTCTTCAGGGATGCATGTCTTTCCAGAGTTTTCAAGATTTTCCAGAATTTTGTTTTAAGTTCAAAAAACATACCTGAAATACGACAATAGTTGATAGGCTCAACTATGCCCCTTAGTAAATTTTTATCACAAGTACGCGTGTATGTAGCGTACGAGATACGCTTAACATACTGAGTCCATTTAGTCCACATTGATTTGTTAGCTTTTCACAGACACATCAACATGGAACAATCTGTGCAATTGTCAGCGTGAAATGGGAAACGGGAAACGGGAAACGTGAAGTGCAGTAGTTTTTGCGTTTTTGTTGTTTGTGGGTCAAAAATAAAACTCAAAATTATGCTTTTATTAATTTTTAATTGCCGAATCAATTTTAATAAACATTTTCATTATTACGAGCACATAATGAAAAGAGGCAAATTTATGGCATTTTTTAAGCCACTGCACAGAAACAATTTCAGATAAAATGAAAAAATAATTGAATAAATTTAATTACTTTTCCACGGTTTTTTTAATTGTCGCAGCAAATGAAGTGTGATTTCATGTGCATTCAATTAATGTTTCTATGAAATTCAATTATATAATTAGTTTGGATTTTGCGAATTTTTATAATTGTACACATAATTCATTTAACTGCATTTAAACACGAGAATTCAACGTCTGCGAGGGCAGGACAATAATGCCTGCCAGGGACAGTTAATGGGGTCGGTAAGGTTCAGAAATCTGCAGAACCTTCAAAACCGAATTCCCAAACACATTCCAAATTCAATTTTAAACAATTTAATTAAGTCACATGTTTAGTTAATTTGCCGCTGTTATTGTGTTATTGTGTTATTTTATTATTAAATAATTTTATAATTTTTCGGCCATGGCAGTTCTGAAAGCCTTCACTTCATTATATGCGTTTAATATGCATTTTATACGCAATGCAACCAACAAAAAGGGCCAAAAGTGCGTAAGTATGTCCTTCTGTTTTCAATTAAAATTTTTTGTAAAAATATTTCATTTTATTTAAGCTAGTTTTTATTTAATTTTGCAAAAAGTAGTTACTATAATCCAAATATGTGTTTTTAATTGGACCGGGGAGCATACTTTTATATATGTATAGTTGTATGTGTCTACATATCTTATGTAATTTATGTATATAAAGTGCAGCATGTTTAATTATTTGCAATTAAGTAATTTAATCTTTTCCCTTCAAGAGCAAAAAATATTTTTCACAATCAAACATACAACACATGTTAAGTAGCCTGTTTCGAAACTGCATTTTCTGTTTTTTGTTAGTCCTTATTTAGTTAAGTTTTCTTGTTTTATAAGTTAAGTTTGGCAGGAGTTTAGTAGATTGGTAGTGGAGTAGCAGTTAGTGTCTGTTTAGCTTTGGTAGGCCGACAATGCCTACATAAGCTCTAACAGTACCAAACTGCAGACTCACCTTAGATAGCAAATAATAAGCAGAATATATTTTGAGTTTTGGTGGTGCTTTCTACTGAGATACTACTTGCAAGCTTCATTCAAAGTGAGAAAAATGAACAACTATACAATATACACACATAAAACATTCAAATTTGATTTGGGTTTTGTTTGTGTATTATCGTATGTACATGAAACGTCAACAACATTATTGCTAATATAACACATATAACAAAACATTTGCATAAACTATAAAAATATAACATATCTCTAAGTAATCTCATACATCAGAAGCAAAGATATCACATCATGAATTCAAGAAAAAAACAACAATTCTATATGCCACATAAAAATGTTTGGAGAGCGGTCAGATTACCAGATCTATTGATAGATGAAGGAATTTTTGACAAAATTTTTTATGTGATTTGGCCTAGTGAAGAAGTAATGATCAATTTTACTAAGGAAAACGGAAAAGCTATGTCAATATCTTTTTACTTTTTAATTAGTTTTTGCTCTTTATTTTCACCAGCCGTGAAATAGATATATTGAATACTAAAGAAAAATAATTTACGAATGCCTTCTTCTATTTAATATTTTTTTTGATGGCAAATCAGCCATCACTAGGCCGCATATTTATTACTACTGAACGTTAGTAATAATCGATCATATTCCTCATCAGTTATGATAGCTCATAACCGATAGATAAGTTTTTCTTTTTACATCAATTTCTTAAGAGACTAAAAGTAACTTAAACTTTTAGCTCTATACGCCATGATGGTCATTACCTTCGACGATTTTGAAATGAATTCAAATAAAGAACTTCCTATACTGTTACAAGGCTAATCTTCGCAAATACCCATATTCCTTGTAATTTACTGATATCCGCATTATGGATAGATACATACATTTATGCACTCAAAGTGCTTAATAATAAGAAATTATTTCTCCCTAAAACCTAATTACTGAATTTCTGTGTATGTTAAAAAAATTTAATAGTGAAGTTAAATAAATTCAAAAAGATTTTAAGTTGCATTTCAAAGTTCATAAATTTCCACCTAAAACACTCAGAAAATAATTCGAAAATCACAGAACTCATTCAAAATTCTTTCTTTGTTTATTTCATTAAATATTTTTATTAGAATTTTTTGTTTGAAAATAAAAATCTATGAATAATTCACAACTCTAATCGAACTCATTTTTACTATTCAAATTTCATATAAACAAAAACAAATTGTTTCCTCCTGAAAACTCAAATCAAACTTAATCGAAAATCACCGCATTTCCTATATAACAAAACAACAAAAAATAAATAATAAAAAACAATAAATAAAATTAAATAATTATACAAAATGCCACCTTAACTACAAAACAAATATTTACAATACCATAACGAATATATATACATATGTATATATATATATATATACATATATATATATACAAAATCTGTAATAAACTATATACAAAAATGCACCAAAATGCATTTAATCAATAAATTTAAAATAAATGTGGACGGTTTTTATCGATAACGAAAACGGCAACAGGCGAAAGACCACTACTTTAAAGTACGATCCACCATACTCAAAGAAACCAATCGCCAAGGGATATGGCGGTGCTGGAACTGCTGCAAACCATCATTCCGTTGAAGAGGTTTCATTGGATGGTTCCGGCAAATTGGTTTATGCAAATCAAGCGGGTTTCAGGTAAGCTAAAGACAAGTATTTCCTTTCTTCCCCTCTTCTCTCCTCTCCTCTCCTCTCCTTTTCTTAGCCAATACATAGAGATTTTACAAGAAAACGAATGCCACAACGAAAGCATTGTCTTTATGATAATAATTGGCTTTGTTTGATTGAATTGTCTTGAAGTATATATATAAATACAATACAGGATATAGAATACAACAAGAAGCATAACATTTTCATTTCAGGGACAAAAGCATACATAGCCGACGTTACACTGCCAGTGGCACCGAGGACGATCAAACGCATTCAGGTAATTTATCTTTGCTTCTCAGCACACTCACTCAGCTCACTTACACCACACACTTTGCATCGCATCTCCTTAGGATACTATTATATTACATCATCATATTAGTTTGCTCACTTGTATCTGTTGACGTTCATCGTTGTGTGCGTCGGTATCCTTTTGTGTATTTTGCTTTCATAATTACGACTAGCGCGTCCACTACCAAGCATTCGTTAACAAGTAGACAGACCATTCCCAATATTCCCAGTGTTGCCCCATTTATCTATATATTATACTACATATATTTATACATTAATATATATGTATATATATATACTATATATACTACTAACAAGTATGCGCACGTGTATGTGTGTTAGTTTAGATGACGAGTTCATATGTGAATGCGAAATTAGATTTGAAATTGATTTTGAATTCGATTGAATTTGTGTTGTGTTGTGTTGTGTTGTATTGTGTTATGTTTGAATGATGTTTTAAGTAATATTACGATTAGATTGCAAATAGACATTTGTTTGTGTTCAGTTAATATATATATCAGGATATTTAGAGACAAACAAGTACTCGTATATATAGACCAGTGCCTAAGCATCATGACAACAACTAAATACTACACAAATTCAAACGACGCATTAGTGAAGACTCCCAGATTAATAAGGAGAACGATTCAAAGTTGGTAAAGTAACCGTTTAAAGATAAAGAATGCATAATCTAAGATATTGCATAGTACAACACCACCTACCCTAACCAACTTCAAATATACAATACAATCCCAATACTGTTAAAATGCTTTATTCGTCAACATCAGTTTTGTTAATCACAATTCAATAGTCATTCCTCCAATTATAGTATGCAAAATAAACAAAATTACTCAATTTACACATTAGACATACGAAAACTTATGTCCACATTGGTACACGTTACCAATATGTTCTTTCTTCGAACGAATCTGATACGACTTCGGCACGAACTCATTACGAAAAGCACTCACGCTTAGCACTTAAAACACAACCAAAACTAAATGCAATTTTCGCGCCATAGCAATCAGCACTCATGCACTACATTTGAATGAACGTCAGCACGCTTCAATGCAAACGCCTTATATTTGACATTTAGGGCAAATCATATCCTTAATGGTGTCTATGTTCTTTTCTTCCTAACACAAAAACAGAAAAAGGCATTCTAAAGAAGCATGGTTATGGCATAATGCACGGCGATCAAATGAAGGATAAGTGGGGCGACGACGGTCAATCTGATAATATGGAGCTAATGGCACAGCAAGATGGAACTCTGGCCTCAACTAGTGGTGCAGCAGTATCTGAAGTTGAGCGCACACTTAAATCGTTAAATGGTTATCATGAGGATATATTGGAGGCATTACGCAATGCAGCCTCCCATCGCGGTACTGGCACTGGCAATACACCTGTTGGCAGCGGCAGCTTGAGTGAAGAGATGTTGAGAAAAACCCTTCAAGATTGTACTTCGGCACAGCTCGGTTATGGTGCTGAGCCTTACAAACGTTCAAGTGGTTCAAAATCAAGTTCCCGCGAGAACATTTGTGATCCGAGCCAAGCGCATGCGGTATTGGTTGAGGGTGGCGGTATGGGAGGTGGCCATGCAGGTCCGATGCTCCATCACCATCGTTCACAACATCAGCTACACCAGCCGCCACCAATGCAACAGCAGCCACCACCACAAGATGAAGATGACGCACCATCCACTGGGCCGCTACGGATAAGAAATCTTGAAGACCTTATACGACAACTTGAACATCACTCATCTAGACATATGAGTCCTAGTGGTTCCGAGGACATTCGAATGTCCGAAACGGAAGCCGATCGCCATTATAGATTAGATAGTTCCGCCGCTTGTAGTGAATCCTCGCAAGGGTTAGTAAATGTTTTGTTATAATTTTTAATGTTATTATTGATGGGGCTGTAGGTGCCTATTTAAATAGATGAAGTATCCTACAAGTAATTTACATTTGCAACTCCTAGGATATCATAGAGTTATTTTAAACGCTCCGCTTGCTTACAGAACTTGCTTGTTTCCATTTTTGTATTCAAGTTTAAAAACTAACACGCTCACTGCTTTATCTTAACTATTTGCAAATTCTAACGTTTCTTACAGGCTTTAGACTGGAATATCTAGTGTGATAAAGGTTGGTTCCATGCCAAACATCAATTGTAACTGAACGCTTAACAATTTAAATAAAAAATAATACGAGTACTTTATAAAAATATTTTATTTAATTAAATTTAAAATTTATTTAAAATAATTTAATAAATAAAGCAAAATATAATAGGCACCTTGTGAATTGCTCCAATTATCGAATCTTTGCTTGTTTTATATACATCATATTCGTTAATATTTTATTTATGCTTTGCTCTTCTCTCTTCCCGTTCAATTTTATCCATCGAACATACAGCTCAACTCAACAATTAGCACAATCACAGAAAACCGCAACAATACATCCGTCTTACAGTCGTTGTCGGCCGCGTTCTGACGAGGAGTCACGGTTCGCTTACGGAAGGTACAGGCATCCCACAACAACCAGTAGACAACATCCTCCGCATCAATCGCATTCACCTCATGCTTTCGGCCATCACACGCATCACTCGCATGCCCACGGTCACGCCACACACGGTCCGCACTCATCGCATCATTCGTCGCACACACATCTCCACCAGGACGATGAAGGCATCTACGAGAGCGCCGACCATCATGAACGCTCGGTAGTAGATCCGCGAGAAACCCCCGATAGTGAAAGGTAGGTGGTCGCACAGATGTCCCTAATTTGATGTGTAGCAGAGCTATCCGCTTCCTCCAAACAAAGTTGCAAAATATTTTCCATGAATTTTCATTTAATTTGCATTTTCATTTTATTTTGTTTTCATTTCGTCTGCTTACCTCTTACCTCTTGCCTCTTGCTTCTTCACTGCTTTAGTTTGCCTTATTTTACGTTTGGATTTGCTTTGGTTTGGTTTAATTTCGCTTGCATTGGTTCGCTTGGCTCGGATTGGTTTGGTTTAGCTTGGCTCACCTCGGTTTGGTTGAGTTTGGATTGATTTCAATACTGCTTAGCCTTTGCAAAGTGCTTATCCTATTGCCCACTGCCCTTTGCCGTTTGCTTTTAGCTTTTAGCTGTTGGCTGTTAGCAGTGCCCGAGTAATGCATTTCTGCTCTGCTTTTGGTTTGGCAAATATGATTTTATAGTGAAATCCCGTTTATTTATTTTTTGTTTGGTTTAACACAACTGAAAATATTCCTTAAATGCTCAACTCGCCAATTAAAGCGTTCCAAGTTATGCAATTTTAGAACCGAAAAAATTTTTCATTTTGAATATAAATTTTATGAGTCCCAAAAAGTTTTCTACTAATAAACAAGGAAACTTCTAACAAGTATGTAAAAATCATATAACCTCACACTGAATCTTCATTAATATTAGCATTAACAATTAAATTATTAATAAGAACCTGAAATAACTAGATCTCCCAAAATTATTTATGCACTTCACATTTTTACTCATTTAAAGTACAACGACGTAGTTTTAAGCTATCGAAAGTCTTACTTTCGACATTAAGAGATAGTTTTTCAAAACTATCGATGAACTTACAATATTCATATCACTTTCAAAAAAAAGAGAGGAATAAAAAAGACTACATTAATATCTATAGTATTGATAAAAAAAATTGCCCAAAACAATAAACGATAAGTGCTTAACGTGTTTACCACCGAAATTCTTCAAAGTTTATTTCCTTCTGATCAAAGAGCTTTGAATTTCTTCGAAGCGATATCACATCGTCTTCTTTCCGAGAACAGAAACAGAGTAGAGTTTTGTCCGTGTCTATATTAAGAGACTAATTTTTAATATAAACTAAAATATTCATAATTCATTGAAGATGAAATGATTTTGTCCATAAATATTGTAAGTATCTATTACTTTTTATTCATTATTTTGAAATATGTTAAAATCAAAAAGGATCAGATGTAATGTAAACGGAAGATTGATGTTAATGTCCATTATATGATAAAAATATAAACTAACATTACTATCGATAGCTCAATCGATTGCTTGTCACTACTACTACGCGGGAATACTAACTTTAGAGAGGAGTACCAAATGATGACACCAACCAATTCGTATCCACTTTTAATTAGTAAATCATATTAGAAGCTACTTTTATTTCAGTTATGTAATACGAAGAATTGAAGACGAAATTTCATACTTAATTAATTAGGATCTTCATTTTGAATAGCCTTTTCGCAGTTTTCTCAACTGTTAAAGAGAAAATATATAATAATTGAAAAAACATATTGTCTTTGCCTTTCTCTCTCGCACACTCCCTCATCCCGTCCCTCTCACTCTTCCCTTCCTTTCCAATTCATGCAACATTAAATAACTTAATAAGTAGACTTATCTTCTCTTTTTACTTTTTCTTTGTATTCCTAAAAATCACCGAATTATTAAATTCCTGCTCCTGTTTCGTAACTAATACTTTTGGAACGACTTTTATAGACTAAATTGAAGAGCTGAAGAAGTTTCAGCTTAGAATGAAGTGCATAAATATGTGAAAGTAGTTGCTTATTCTTCATATTTTTGTAAAATTTGTAACTTTCGATTAAATTATTGATAACTTTTGTCTTTCTCGTTCTTGTTTATTTTCATATTCGATCATCTCCTCGCACATTGTCAATCATCCATCATCGCCCTAACCAAATGTCTATCATTCTGTAATTTCATGTTGTTGTGACAAATGTTGTGATCGAAATATGTAAAAAATAATTAATTTCGTTTTATACTTAATTATTTTTATGTGTTGATTTCCTATTATGTGTCTTATGCCTAACAAATACCGCCTTTCTCCACTTTTTCCTTTTTTGTCCTGTCCAAATTTACATTGTTTTGTTAAAATTTGTTAAAATTTGTTGAAATTTGTTGAAATTTGTTGACATTTGTCTAATTTATTAAAATATGTATCCGTATCCGTAACTCTCTTCGTCTATATTTTGTTTTATTGTTTTTGTGTTGTATTTGTGTTTTGTCTCCATTTTTATGTTATTCCGTGTATCGTTGTTCCTGTTATGATTATTATTTTCTAGTGATGACTTTATTCAAGCTCAACAACAGTTAGCCCGGTGGGCGAGTGAGGATGTGGTATCCGTCGTGGTATTGGATCAGCCGCCACCCGGTACAATGTCGGATTCCCAACAATCCAGCGGCGTCGGACCAATGTCGGCGGCTACAACGAGTACCGTTATCCACCACCAACATCCGCACCAGCACCACGGCGATCATCAATCATCCTCGGCAGCAGTGGCTGCGGCGGTAGCAGCAGCGGCAGTCAACAGCACCTCCATAATGGGTTTGGGGGGCGTGCCAAATGGTATAAGTGTAAGTCAGAGGGACTATTACCCCTCGCCACCCTCAACGGAGACGGAAAGCAGTGGAAGTGTTATACAGCCACACAGCCGACGCATACCTATGCAACAAGATACAAGCCAACAATTGCAGTTGCATCAGCTACAATTGCACCAACAGCAGCAGCAAGGCGACACCAGCAGCAGCAACAACAGCCAATCAGGACAAATAATGGAGAATGGTCGTTATCCGGAATATAAACACTGATAGTATCAAATTTACCAACAACAGCAACACCAAAAACAACAACAACATCAACAACATCAACAACAAGTTCAACTTCAAATGCAACATCAACAAAATTGTCAACAACATTTACAACAACTACAACAATTGCATTTGAACTGAAATTATAAGAAACACTCAAAAGATGAGAAGCCAATCACAAATTCAATTTCAACTGTTCCTCTCTTCGGAGCTTTGGAACAGAAAGAAGATAATTGGCAACATTGAGGTCTGCTGCTGTTGGAAAAGAACACAAACCATGAAACAAACCTTCTTCAATCGGAACTTAAAGAGACGATGTTTGGGAAACCAAAACTTAAACCTAAACCGAAACAGAAAGAGAAAGAGAAAACAAAAACGAAAACGACCGATCTCTTCAATGTGATTTTTGCAAAGTAACGCATTTAAGATTAAATAAAATTTATAAATAGAATAGCACATCACTAGGGCAAAACACAACAAAGAAAAAACAAAAACAAAAACGAATCATAGCCGCAATAAGAGCAAATAGATACAAGCACATAATTCCATAATTAAGAATGTAAAAGCGACTACAACAAAAAACAACAACAAATTAATATTAACTTTATATATAAAGCTTTAAGTCAAACAAAAACTAACACAAATATAAGCTCGCTCACACTCATGCAAATAAATTAATTAAATAGAAAAACAAATTCACAAACAAAACAGATTCAATCGCAGAGACAAAAACAAAAACAAAAACAAAAACAGAAACAGAAACAACACAAAGCAAATAAATGAAAAAATGAAAAAATGAAAAAATGCAAGCACATAAAGGAAATCAAATTAATAATTTCATGCTCAAATCGTAAATGTTCGTATTCATTAATATTGTAAATAATATATATACATTCAATGTAAACATAAACGTACACATATACACACTCACACGCATGCACAACCATCTGACCGATTAAATTGTATTAAATTAAATGATTTTTATGGCAAATGCAAAACGACACAAGAACACGACAAAAAAAACCGAAGTAAAAAACAAAACGATAAGAAAAAAGTTGCATAAAAGCATAGGTGCGCCTTTCGAGAGCATTATCCAGTGAATTACTAAATGCACACATACACACACGCACGCACACACGCACTTACGCACACACACGACGTGTACATAAAGCAAAAAAAAAATCCTTAATTAAAAATTAAATCATTCACTTTATATATGCAAAACAAAATGAGTACGTGTGATGGGTGTTGTTGTTGTTGTTGTTGTTTGCGAAATGCTGCCTATGTATATGTAAACAAATTTGTACATACGAAATATGAAAATATTATTAATCTGTGTTGAAGTTAATTTGAGGATACGAACTTTATTAATTATTAAATATTGCAAAAGGTAGCAACCAGATGTGCAACGCAGAAATAACTAGTTCTGATGTCTTTACTAGTTCTTATAGCTTTGCTGTTAGCAGTTCTGGCTTATACTGGCCTTTGAAGGTAACCGTTATCAAAACTTCTCCGAGTTCTGGATAATTGCCACCTACAATTCGTTATTAAACTTCATACGCTTTCTAGATGCCAGTATACGATATATAGCATTTCTAAAGGAATTGAAACATTTTTTAGTTGTTCATGCAAGAAAGGTATTGCCCATCGCTATGGTTGAGAAATCTACTTACTACTTAGATCACCAGTACAATATATCGACAAGTTTTTACATTTTTAGATAAGTCCGAATGAAGATTCTTAAAGCCTAACAATACCAATACCAGCCATCTACTACACTTAAGAGATAATAGAATTTATGCCATATTAAATTAATTTATGCACTCAATCGAGGATCGAGGAACAAATCGAGGAACGAATAAGTAAATGCTATAAAAATTTCAAGTGATATTTTAGAGACCTTCAGATAATCTTTAAAATTTTTCTGTTGTTAGAATCTTTTTTATTAAAATTAAATATGCAATAATAGAAGAAATCGATGTGTTTTCATATGAAAACGATAATTCACTTCTCTTTTGAAATGGTTTATTCCCTTTTCAAAGTTAAAAGACACTCCTACCATATCATACTTAGATCTAACGGCCTTGAAATCATTAATTTTTCTCTAGATATTCCTAAACTTAAAGGTCCAGTTCAATTAGTAAGAGCTATATTTTCTATCAAAACACAGAAGAAAAAGTTTAGAACAAGAATAATTATTAAATATAGTAATTCCTGAAAAACGAAGCTTGTTCCATTCTGAAGTTAATGCTTTAACAGATTTAAAATTTTACGATACGAGTATCTGAGAAAATCTAAACAATATATTTACAACTCCGGTAAGAATCAGTGAAGCTGTGCTCTTGTAATCTAAACATCCATTCTTAATTTTAGCCTTGCTGAAACTTGTAGTAGTGGAATACAAAGCAATTCACTGTTACGCCTATGAACTCTATATTGGAGTGATGGATAGAGCAAGAATACTCGTACGATCTGCTGCCAAACATTGTCTCTATCGGGCTGCCGCCATTTTGCAAAGATTTAATTTATTTTGTATCCTCCGAAATTTGTAATTTTGTTGTAATTATTATGAAGCAATTTGTTGTTTTTGTTCATTAGTTATTGTTTAATGTTGGACTTCATTGTTAAGATATTTGTAAATTAATCCGTAAGAAAGAATTCTGTAAATAAAACTCAGTGAAAAATGTTTACAGCACAAATTAATAAAATTTAATTAAATTAAGAATTGTGCGCCAGCAGCGAAGTTTGCCGCAGCATACAACTATGTACATAATTAGTTTAATTAAGTATATAAATTAAATTTAATTCAGCAAATTTAGTACTAAAAATGTGTAATTTTAAAATTGTACATATTTTGAATTTCGTTAGCGGAAGTTGACTAAAATTCAAAGGAAATAAAAGACGAACGCCGACTGCGGCAAAAAAATTAAAAAATTAAGGAGCAGCTCCGTGAGGTTTTTTATATTAAAGTTATAAAAATTATTAAAACTGAATTGAAATTAAATGAAACTGAGGAAATAAGCTAAAGAATTTAATTTAGAAAAATGGTCAATTTAAATTTAACTTGAAAGTTAAATTGTGAAAATTTGAGCGTCGCATAAAAAGTTTATAAAATATAAAAAAAAATAAAAAAATAAATAAATAAAAACTGTTCGATGTTAGCCAAGAAACCGAAACCGAAACAGAAACAGAATATCCTTTAGACAGGATATACAATGCGGAATTTCTTTTTGCATTCAAACAAATGAATTTATTAAAAATTTAGTGGAAATTGTTATTCGTATTTAAAACAATAAACACAAACAAAAATGGTAAATTAATTAATGTACGCAAGTTTTAATATAAGCCCAAAGTAAAAAAAATAAAAATAAAAATAAAAATAAAATAAATAAACCAACCTATACACTTACAAATCAACTGAACTTAATTATATTGTTCAAGGATAATTAATTACAAAAACAAAAATATGAAATTAACATAAAGGCCGTACAGAAAATGTACCAGAAAAGGCGTGAACTAAAAAGGTCGACATTATGCGTTAACATAAAATAATTTAAATTGAATGTTACTTAAGTATTAATTAAAATTTATAAATAATTAAACAAATTTGTATACAAAATTGATTAAATTTAATTGATAATTAACAAAAATTAGCATAATTTGTGAATATGAAAACCGTAGATAAGTACGAAAAAAGAAAACAATATATGTAAAAACACTCGGAAAGAGAAAAATATCTCATAAAATCAACAGTAAACTATTATAATTATTTTAATTTACTTACACGTATTCTGGTTAGCTGCAGCAACTTCTTTCAGAAAACAACAAAAACAAACACTTTTTCCCAGAACGCCGGTGAACTGAAGTTCCCATAAAGCCGAAAGAATAATAATTATAAAGATTAAGAATTGTGCGAAGAAACCATATAAGAGATTAGAAAATTCCTTAAAATGATCCTCAAAAATTTAAGCGCTCACGAACGATATTAGTTCTCTTGTTTTAATTTCATAACAGTTAAATCATCGTTCGATTGATTGGCCAACATTTACAAACAAGCTGAGGTGCCTTTAGTTGCTACCTACATAAAGAGTTACAAAAAAAAATTCCCAATATTGTTAGAAAGCTTCTAATACTCTTTTGGAAATACCTATATACGTGTATTTTCAATGGAGCTTGGAATAAGTTAACTTTAAAACAAGATAACAGACGTAAGATGTTCCTCCAAACAGATTGATATAGTAAATGTTCAGTTCGACTTATTTTAAGATGACAAAGAGGCTATCATGGCCGCTCGTTTTATATATCATTAAAATGTCATTAAAAGATTCGATATCATTTTAAATATATTAATTCTTTGAATTCTCTTCTTGATATCCAATTAAAACCATAATGTTGCCCAATGGCGCTCCTAAACAAAAAAGTATAAACTAACAAAAAAAGAAATTTTACAGAATAATCCATATAAAAACATATATATATTCTATTTAAGTCTTAGAAAAGTGAAGTAGCCATCCTGCAAGATATAGGCATAAAAGTGAGTATATGGTTCTTCGAAACTATATTTATTCTTCACTCTCCTATAACAACAAATAGGTCTGTCCGAAGAGATAGAGTGTCGACTATGCTTAGAGGCAGACGAGACTACGAGCCACATTCTCTGTGACTGCCCAGCCTTGATCTGGGCAAGGAGGAAATCACTGGGAGGAGAGCTGCTCTCTCCTTCTGACATTAGGAGGTCCTCAACGGACGACATTCTGGCCTTCATTCGGAAAGCGGAATGTCTTCTGTTCAATTAGGGTCAGTTACGGCACAAAAGATCAATCTGGTCGCAGTGCTCTGCTCCAGTGGGAGCTAGTACCCTGTTTATTTCTATTTCTATAACAACATAGACACTCTCCTATAGACCCAGGATATTTTACTGTTTTTGATTGAATTTTGAAAGTTGGAGATTGCTGGATTGAGGAACATACAGTAAATTTCTTTCTTATGATAGAATCATAAGAATGTTGGTACATACTTTATGTTTTGAAGTGAAAGAAGAACGTTTTCATTTAACTTTTTTTTTTGATTTGTTAATTAATTTAATT